GATTGGGTGGTTAAGGAGGTGCCCAGCCAAGACCCAATGATGATGGGGAGCTGCCAACTGGGGCCTGGGGGCAGTAGGGTCTGAGGAGTGCCTACCTGCCTGCCAGCCAGCATTGCCAGGTAGGGCCCCGGAACAGGTTGGGGCCTGGTGAGGCCCAAGTCCTGAGGGTTGGGTGTCTTGGCAGGCTTTTGGCAGCGAGTGAAATGACCTGACCCACATCACCCCGCTGTGGCTCGCCGGACGATGGCAGCCAGGTGATGGCGCTAGGGAGGAGGAAGGGCACAAGGCTTCTTGTGTTTGTGGCAGTATCAAATGGGGATGTGATGGTAAAAAGGAGTCAGGGATGACTTGGGGTTTGGCCTCAGTGGCTGTGTGGATGGGGCTGTTTACTGAGGGAAGACTCAGAAGCAGGATCTCGGCATTCTGAGGGGCATCAGGTGGGGACATCGGGAGGCAGGGGTACAGACAACGGCGGGGTGGAGTCAGCAATCACTGATTCACTTCACGTTAGTTTCCTAGTGAGCAGAGGAAGTAAACCGAACACCTGTACACTCATCCTTCTGTCTCAGCAGTTAACATTTACTGCATTTACTTTGTCTACATGCACAATTTCAAAGATATGAATCTTCATCTCTAAATATTTCTTCATAAATCTCCAAAAGAGCCTGGGCACGGTGGCTCACACCTGTAATCCCCCCCACTTTGGGAGGCCGAGGCAGGCGGATCGTGAGGTCAGGAGATCAAGACCATCCTGGCTGACACGGTGAAACCCCGTCTCTACTAAAAATACAAAAAATTAGCCGAGTGTGGTGGTGGGCGCCTGTAGTCCCAGCTACTTGGGAGGCTGAGTGAGGCAGGAGAATCACTTGAACCCAGGAGGCGGAGGTTGCAGTGAGCTGAAATTGCGCCACTGTACTCCAGCCTGGTGACAAGAGTGAGACTCTCAAAAAAAACAGTCTCCAAAAGACAGGCCTTCCATGTGATCCGAGCACCATTATCACGCCTCACCAAGATGATAAATCTTTTTTGTATCCTGTAATGCACAGACTATTCAGATTTGCCCAAAATGTTCTTTTATTGCCACCATACCTAATTTTATTTTAATTTTTTTTTTAAAGTCAAGGTCTCGCTGTCTCCCAGGCTGGAATGCAGTAGCACAGTTATGGCTCACTGCAGCCTCTGCCTCCTGGGCTCGAGGAATCCTGTCTCAGCCTCCTGAGTAGCCGGGACTACAGGTGTGTACCATCACGCCCAGCTAATTTTTTAATTTTCTGTAGGAATGGGGTTTTGCCATGTTTCACAGGCTGGCCTCATACTTCTGGGCTCAAGTGATCCTCCTGCCTCAGCCTTCCTAAGTGGTGGGATTACAGGCGTGAGCCACCACACCCAGCCAAAATGTTCTAAAAATGACTTCCATAGCTGTTTTTTCCCTGAAGCCCAGCACCCAGCCATGGATTATATACACTGCATTTGATGATGGTTTTCAGGCTCTGAGCTGCAGGAATCCCTCCCACAGTTACTTACTATGGCATTGAGGCTTTGAAGCAATCAGGCCAGTTGTCTAGAGAATGCCCACGTTTCGGGTTTAGATGGCTCTATTTACTTTTGGTAGTTTAAAACTTTGGTGTAATTTCAAACTTACAGAAAAATTGCAAGAACAGTATACGAAGTGCTCTCCATAGGCTGGTCCAAGTTTGCTCGATTCTGTCAGTCCCAACTTCTCTGGGTAGCTTTTGGAGCTGTTTGATAGTCAGTTGCAGACACCATGTTTCTTTATACCTAAATCCTTCTGTGTTTACTCTTTTTTTTTTGAGATGGAGTTTTGCTCTTGTTACGCAGGCTGGAGTGCAATGGCGCAATCTCAGCTCACTGCAACCTCCCGCTCCTGGGTTCAGGCAATTCTCCTGCCTCAGCCTCCTGAGTGGCTGGGATTACAGGCACGCGCCACCATGCCCAGCTAATGTTTTTTTTTGTATTTTTATTAGAGACGGGGTTTCACCATGTTGACCAGGATGGTCTCGATCTTTTGACCTCGTGATCCACCTGCCTTAGCCTCCCAAAGTGCTGGGATTACAGGCTTGAGCCACCGCGCCTGGCCTATTTTTTTTTTTTTTTTTTTCAGATGGAGTCTCGCTCTGTTGCCCAGGCTGGAGTGTGGTGGTGCGATCTCAGTTGACTGCAACCTCTGCCTTCCAGGTTCAAGAGATTCTCCTGTCTCAGCCTCCCAAGTAGCCGGGATTACAGGTGCCTGCCTCCACACCTGACTAATTTTTGTACTTTATTAGTAGAGACCAGGTTTCACCATGTTGGTCAGGCTGGTCTCGAACTCCTGAGCTCAGGTGATCCACCCTCTTCGGCCTCCCAAAGTACTGGGATTACTGGTGTGAGCCACTGCATCTGGCCTACATATGGATTTTCATTCTCTTTTTCAACATGCTCCTGGAGGGCCTCTCAGCTGCAGAGCGTTTGTAGCTTGTATGTGGCAGAATGAACCAAATGCTATGTCATGACCTGTTTTAAAAATAAAGTATCGTGCTGGGTGTGGTGGCTCACGCCTTTAATCCGAGCACTTTGGGAGGCTGTGCAGGCAGATCACCTGAGATGAGGAGTTCAAGACCAGCCTGACCAAAGTGGTGAAACCCCATCTCTATTAAAAATACAAAAGTTAACCGTGTGTGGTGGTATGTGCCTGCCTGTAGTCCCAGATACTTGGGAGGCTGAGGCAGGAGAATCGCTTGAATCCAGGAGCTGGAGGTTGCAGTGAGCAGAGATCTCTTATCTGTAGCAGGATAAGCTGTAGACAAAACCTCCCGAACACCAGATTTCAAGAAGGAAGTGGCTTTCTATATGATTATATAGAAAGATTATATGGAACTAAGTATGCTAGATATAAGTATGATTATGTAACCATTAAGTTATACTTATGGCTGTAATTCTATAAACATGATTATATATAAAGGATTATATATAGGAAATAGCTGAGTAATAACATTATAAACTAAGATATTCTTCAGGAACTAATTGTGCCTGGGGTTTGCACAGCTGTCCTTCCTCGGTGCCCATGTTGGGGGTTACCCACAGTTGAGACCCCACCATTATAATTGAGGACTCTGTAAAAGAGGTGGTGTGATGGGAGCAAGCCCACCCATCCCCGCCCTGCCAGCAGGGTACCACCAGGAGCAGCCCAGGGTCTCCCCGAGGACAGAGCCATCTCAGTGAGCAACACCTCCACTGTGCTGGCCTTGAACCCTGAGTGTGTGGCAGTGCGGAGGGGAGTCATCACTGTGGGATGGGGGTAGATGCCCCTGACTTGTTAATGGTTGAAACTTTTTAAAATTCATTTTTCGAGATGGAGTTTCATTCTTGTTGCCCAGGCTGGAATGCAATGGCATGATCTTGGCTCACTGTAACCTGCACCTCCCAAGTTCAAGCGATTCTCGTGCCTCAGCCTCCTAAGTAGCTGGGATTACAGGCATGTGCCATTATGCCTAGATTATTTTGTATTTTTAGTAAAGATGAGGTTTTTACCATACTGGTCAGGCTGGTCTTGAACACCTGAGGTCAGGTGTTCCACTCCCCTCAGGTGATCCACTCCCCTCAGCCTCCCAAAGTGCTGGGATTACAGGCATAGGCCACTGTGCCTGGCCTGGCACATTTAATATCTACACTCTACTTTCTCTCAAATCTGGGTTTACACATTTATTAGCTAGGGCCTGTTAATGGTTGAAACATTCATGTCATGTATATTTTACCACAATAAAATCAATATAGTGAGGCCAGACGTTGAGTATTGGAAAAATTAAATAAAAATACATGTTCAGTGTAACTGCTATTTGAAAAAAAAGTTGAAATCTGTTTATTATATAAACCCCCTTGTGAGGGATGACATGAATTTGTGAATGATGCCTTAAAACAGTGTATTTTAAAGTCAGTTACATAGCTCTTAATTTAAACCTTTTGCACATTGGAAGACAGCAGTTTTCATGTCTATGAATTCAGTATATTAATGACCACTTCTTAACTTTAGGAATTTGAGAGTGTATTTTGCGGTAAAACTGGCCGAAGGCTAAAGCTGACCAGACCGGACTCCTTGGTGACCTGTCCCGCACAGGACAGTCTACAGAGTAGCCCCCCGATGGAGATCAAGTGATCAGACTGAAGGAATCCTTTGGGAATGAACAGCCGTTCCTTTGTGACCCACACAGGTTTTCCACAGCCCTGGAATTCTGCTCCAATAGTCTGACTCAAAAGGGACGTGACTCAAGCTGACAGGACTCCGGTAGGGACTTTGAGAGCACATTTTCTAAAAATATTTATCTAGAACCAAATACTTACCCATTAATGTCCTCTTAGACCACTTGGGGAGGAAGCCATCTTGATAATTAGTAAGTATTTTTTCAATTACCCGATTCCATCATGTTTTCTTAACATGATACTTAAACATCAGCATCCTTTGTACTTTCTGTAGTCTGAAAAGGTACATTGCTTTTACTTACTTTATTTACATTTTAAATACGCCCCTTTAGCAATTGGAACAAGTTAAATTGTTAACTAAAAACAGTTTGGAAATTTTATTCATTTGTTATATCACACCCCCTCGTAATGATTTCGAGTCACGTGGTGCTGTATTGCAACAGGCAGGACCATTTTAAACCTTTTTGCTAAACATTTTCCAGATACTTGCTTTAAAGCTGCTTTCACCCACAAATGAAGTATCACCTCGGTAGATTGCTCAAACGCCCACTCATTTTCCTATGGAGAGTCATTACTTTATGTGTGATACACTGTGGTGTTTGGAATTGAGTTTTTAAATGAGTGGCTTTATTTATGACAACAGATAATACCAGTAGACCCTAGTGTGCTACAAAGTCACCTGTGATAATACTGTTGACTGGAGATGTGAGTTTGTACACAAATATCAGACTAGATCTTTGTGTGGGAGAGAATTTACTGTACATTAAATTCTTTATTTTTTGTTACTCTGTAGCCAGTCATTAATCTGAAGATTTAATGTATCGTTTTATTGGGATGAGATCATAGTCTTTAAGCAAATGCTATGTAAACAAGTTACTGAAGATGTTTCATCTCATGGAATTGTACAAAACGTTTTATGTATACACTCTGCCTTCTCTCAAATGCTGGGCTTACAGATTGATTAGCTGTGGCCTCTTGAGGTATCTCTCGGGCAGCAGCCCGCTCTCCTGGACATGGCCAGCCTGCCACACCGCCCGCTCCTTCGTGACCACTCTGCTTTGTCAGGCGTCCTCGTCACTTGCTTGCTTCCTTCCGATGGATTTATGAGCTTCTAGAGCCAGATTTTTCCCTGACCCCTCCATCACGGCTCCTTGGCAGGCTGAGGTGTCACAGATCCCCGGAGTCCCCTGGGCTCCGATGGTGCCTGGAAGCCCCGGATCCCAGGAGGCCCAGGCTCACCAGGAGCACCGTCCTGGCCGTCCTTGCTGCTGCCGGGCACGCCTTGGGGTCCTTGGGACAGAACAGAAGGTGAGTTCAGCTGCAGCCCAGACTGAAAGCGGTGGGAGCTGACATCCAGCTGCAAGCAAGCCCCGCTCTTCCACCAGCTCAGTCTAGGCTTGAGGGAGGTCATGGGGGGGGTCAGGGCGCTGGCTGCCATGAGTGCGCCAAAAAGGCCAGGTTTGGCCAGCCCCAGGCAAGGGTGTGGAGTCATCCTAAGGGACACCCATGCTCTAACTTACACGGGTTTTGTGGGGGCTGTGTGAGTGAGGAGTGGATCTGGAGAGGGCAGGGCCCCTGGGTGGGAGGCTGTGGGCTGGCTTTGGTCAATGATGGTGGAATTGGGGGTGTGAGGGAAGGGCAAGCCAGCTGCCTAAGTGGGGTAACAGGGTCATTCCCTGAGAAGAGGTGACAAAGTCCAGAGTGATGTGGTTGGGGTGCAGCCAGGAGGCTACTGCCCACCAGGGAGAGCAACACAGACGCTGTTCAGGGCCACACAGGTAGAGAGATGCAGCTGGGGGCCTGGGACACCTGCACATTTGGACACCAAGTAGAGGCGGAGCTAAGTCAGCAAAGGAGAGCCCAGGAGCATGGGGCACCCAGAGAGCAGTGTGAGTGTGGGAGGAGAGGGCTCCAGGGCACCCAGGGAGAGGGGGGAGTGAGGAGAGGGCTCCAGGGCACCCGGGGAGAGGGGTGAGTGAGGAGAGGGCTCCAGGGCACCCGGGGAGAGGGGTGAGTGAGGAGAGGGCTCCAGGGCACCAGGGGAGGGGTGAGTGAGGAGAGGGCTCCAGGGCACCCGGGGAGAGGGGTGAGTGAGGAGAGGGCTCCAGGGCACCCGGGAGAGGGGTGAGTGAGGAGAGGGCTCCAGGGCACCCGGGGAGAGGGGTGAGTGAGGAGAGGGCCCCAGGGCACCCGGGGAGAGGTGTGAGGAGAGGAGAGGGTCCAGGGCACCCAGGGAGAGGGTGGAGTGAGGAGAGGAAGGGTCCAGGGCACCCAGGGAGAGGGGTGATGAGGAGAGGAGAGGGTCCAGGGCACCCGGGGAGAGGGGGGGAGTGAGGAGAGGAGAGGAGAGGGTCCCAGGGTACCCGGGGGAGAGGGGTGACTGAGGAGAGGAGAGGGTCCAGGGCACCGGGGAGAGGGTGAGTGAGGAGAGGAGAGGGTCCAGGGCACCAAGGTGAGAGGGGTGAGTGAGGTAGAGGAGAGGAGAGGAGAGGGTCCAGGGTACCCAGGAGAGGGGTGAGTGAGGAGAGGAGAGGAGAGGGTCCAGGGTACCCCAGGAGAGGGTGAGTGAGGAGAGGAGATGGTCCAGGGTACCCGGGGAGAGGGGTGAGTGAGGAGGAGGAGAGGAGAGGGTCCAGGGCACCCAGGGAGAAGGTAGAAGCCAGGTGACTTCTCACCTGTCCACAACTCCTCAGAGTCTAAGGCCTTCTGGTTCCATGAGGGCATCAGCCTAAGGCAGGGACAGCTGGTGGGTTGGGGGTGGGAGGGGGGCTTTGCGTGGGGCCCCTGTGCTGCCTCCCTCCATGACAAAGCATTTATTTTTGACATTAAAAATGCAATCATTCATGGCTGGGTGTGGTGGCTCTTGCCAGTAATCCCAGCACTTTGGGAGGCCAAGGTGGGCAGATCACCTGAGGTCAGGAGTTTGAGATCAGCCTGACTAACATGGAGAAACCCCATCTCTTTAAAAAAAAAAAAAAAAAAAAAAAAAGGAAACATTCAATGTATGCGCAGGTCAATTAAGAGAAAATTCCATTAGAATTTAACTGAAATAGATGCTAATAGCTTTAAACAGAATCTACCCAAATGGACTTAGCTAGAATAGTCCAGGAGGACCTGCTCACCCATCACACTGTTTGTTTTCCATTTGAGACAGTCTGGAGTGCAATGGCATGATCTCGGCACAGTGCAACCTGCGACTGCTGCCTCCCAGGTTCAAGCCATTCTCCTGCCTCAGCCTCGCAAGTATCTGGGATTATAGGCACCCGCCACTATGCCCGGCTAATTTTTGTATTTTTAGTAGAGATGGGTTCACCACGTTGGCAGGGCTGGTCTTGAACACCTCAGGTGATTCTGCCCACCTTAGCCTCCCAAAGTGCTGGGATCACAGGCGTGAGCTTCTGCACTCAGCCCAGATTAAACTTTTATGTATTAAGCGGTTCTTGAGACAATTTTTAATCTTGCCTCTAAGGCTGCTTTACCAAGAGAAGAGGAAAAGAGAGACCCATTTGTAACCCAAGCACACCCCACATAAAGTTACAAGACTGTGGAAGAGATGCCACCCAGTGAGGCCTTGCTGGCAGTGGACTCGTACCTTGGGGCCCCTGGTCTCCGTCAGGTCCGTCCAGTCCTGCTCCCGCTGCGCCTTTGTCCCCTCTGTCACCCTGGTTTCCTGTCACAAGGTGTAGACAGACACATGGTTAGAGTATCTGTGCAGCCACACCGCAGCCACGTCTGATTGACCTTTGTTACCACACAGGGTGCCCACTTTTACTGAAGTGGAACCATTAGAAACGTACAGATGTCACACACATAGGGCTTAACGGGGTCTGACCAGAGGGACTCACCTGCACAGTCTTGCGCGGCAGGACGGCTGCAGGTCCCTGACGCATGCGTAGGCAATGTCCCGTGAGGTAATCACACCCAATTCTTATACCCTTCCCGTGTTTGGACGATTTTAACACACCCACCCACCGCTGTGTGAGAGGTGCCCACGGGACCCAGCACAGCAATAGGCTGTGCAGGCCAACCGCCAGCCCCAGGCTTGGCACATGGCCCAGGGGTGCTGGGGCAACCCTGACATCCCCACAGCCACGAAGCTCCCTGGTGTCACGTCCGTCAGAACCTGCTCCTGCTGCTGAGCCTTGCGTGGCTCAACTCCTCCCTGACCTCTGGTAGCCAATTTAAATGGGATTTTAGTTTTGTTCAAAATATTCATGCCTACTAAGCAGTTGAGTATTTGTTACTATTTTGTATTCATATTTAAAATATAATTTTCGGCCCATGGGTCATATAAAGCGTTTTCACGCCCTCTGATTGTCATTCTAATCTTACATGTGTGTTTTGCTGTGTGAGGAGAGGGACGTGCTGCCATCTGTTTTTGTTTTTGTTTTGAGACAGGGTCTCCCTCTGTCACCCAGGCTGGAGTGCGTGGTGTGATCGTAGCTCACTGCAGCCTCAACCTCCTGGACTCCAGGGATCCTCCCACCTCAGCCTCCTGAGCAGCTCGGATTACAGGCGCGCTACCATGCCCCACTAATTTTAGAGATTCTCACTGTATTGCCCAGGCCAGTCTTGAACTTCTGGCCTCAACACATCCTCTCACCTCGGCCTCCCAAAGTTCTGGGATTCCAGGCCGAGCCACCACGCCCAGCTGTGTCAGCCCTGGATTTGCGTGCCCTGAAGACACAAGGCTGGATGCATATGGGTCCCTCTAGGATTTGCTCCTGGTAGAGCGAGCCTTTGTCAACTCAGGGATCCTGTGAGGCAGGTAGCGTCACAGAGCTGCTCTGTTCTGTCTGATGGTTGACGCAGCAGCACCAGCTTTGTTTTGCTTGGTGTTTGTGTCTGTTTCAATGCTGGTACTTTCTGAAGTGGATGAGAAATGGAGGCGTGATCTCGGTGCGGACGCTGAGGCAGCTACTGTCCACCTGCATGTCCTGCACAGCCGCTGGCAGGAGTGGTGCCCAACACCTGAGAACTCTGGTGGGCCTCCCCAGTGGGGCAGCGGGCTTCAGTGGCCCTGGTGCCCCGTGCATCTGGTGTGCCTGGCCCGACACCAGGGGCTGACCTGCTGTGCCCTTGGGCAGCAGGAGGCGGTCCTGTCTGGTGCTTCCTTTCCAGGGAGGGGGTGCCAGGCACCAGGTAACAGAGGCTTCTGAGCAAGGACCTGCTGTGGGTCCAAGGGCGCATTTATATTCACATTCAATTCCCATGGCCAGCTCCGGGCATCCGTGCCCGCTTCACTGACGGTGGCCTGAGGCACCAAGCACCTCTCCAGGAGTGGCTCCTGCTGCAGACATGCCCATCTTTACAGGGTGCGAAGGCACAGCAGTCCCAGAGGACGGACGGCCCACATGGGTCCCTGTGGCCTCTGCTCGCTAATGCTGCCACACTGCTGAAAACTGGTAAGGTGATTAATGTGCTTTTAGAATTTCTTTTTCTTTTTTTTTTTCAGACAGTCTTGCTCTGTTGCCCAGGCTGGAGTGCAATGGCACGATCTCAGCTCACTGCAACCTCTGCCTCCTGGATTCAGGCAATTCTGCCTCAGGAGTAGCTGGGATTACAGGTGCACGCCACCACACCTGGCTAATTTGTATTTTTCGTAGAGACAGGGTTTCACCATGTTGGCCAGGCTGGTCTCGAACTCCTGACCTCAGGTGATCCACTGCCTCAGCCTCCCAAAGTGCTGGGATGACAGGTGTGAACCACCGTGCCTGGCCTGAATTTTATTTTCAAAGTCTTGATGGAGTCCAGGTCCCTCTCTGGAGAAAATCTTACGTGGTCTCTTTTTGAAGACTGCAGTCCCTCACGGGGCATCAGGCTAGCCTGGATGGCCTGGGAAGGTCAAAACTTAAAAGAAGTTTCCAGAAAAACATGAAGCTATTTGATAGTTTGGACATATGGACGACAAAACGAATTTGACGCTCAAGTGCTGAAAATCTTCAGTCTCAGTCTCTTTAAAATAAGCGACATAGCGTCACTATGGAATGCTATCACCTTGCTAAATAGTTCAGTTCAGTCTCGGAGATGGAGACAGGAACCCACAGGGTTAAGTCTCCTTTAGAAGCGTTTTCTGACGTGTCTTCGGGAAACAGGAAGTTGTTTGGTCCGTGTGGTGGGATCCACTAGAATCATGAGCTTCAAAACCCTTCACTTGGGCTGAAGGGCAGCTGACTGAATGCCGCAGATGGAAGGCAACTTGGAATTTTAAATTTTTAAACTGTGGTAAGGGTTCGTGTCCAACAGTTAACACAGCGGTGTGTTTTCCATGCTGAGACTCCCCAGCTTACACCTGGTACCCAGAGCCTTCCCGGAAAGTCAGCCCTGCCAGCCATGCACACAGCACAGCCGAGTGGGATCAGCAGTCCAGCAGCTAACGCCAGTGATTTTTATCCTCTTTCTAATTAAAGCTGAGTTCTTTATAGTGTTTAATATGGAAAAAAACTGAATTTTGTATTTTTGCCATTTGCAAACAAATTTTCACATGCCAGTTTTCATGAAGGTGCGTCTCATCAGTATAAATGCGACTTAATTATTCATTCCTCACTTTTTTTTTTGAGATGCAGTTTTACTCTTTTGGCACAGGCTGGAGTGCAGTGGTGCGATCTCAGCTCACTGCAACCTCCACCTCCTGGGTTCAAGCAATTCTCCTGCCTTGCCTCCAGAGTAGCTGGGATTACAGGCGCCCGCCACCACACCTAGCTAATTTTGTATTTTACCGTGTTGGCCAGGCTGGTCTTGAACTCCTGACCTCTAGTAATCCACCAGCCTCGGCCTCCCAAAGTGCTGAGATTATAAGCGTGAGCCACTGCACCTGGCCATTACATTTTTAAACAACCCCTCCCTGCCAAATACTTTTCTGATGGTATTTGAGAAAAACGTCACATTTTAAAAAATGTTCCAGTTCCCACAGGATACTAAGGAGTTAACTGCGCTAGGCCCCAAAACATGATAACTCCCCCTTCCAGGAGTTATCGCAGAGGACGCATGGCACACACCAGACGCGGCACCTACGACAGGTCAGCCTCATGGATTTTATAGCACGGTCACCTGTTGTGGGTCAGCCACTCACCTCTGGGCCCGGGGTCTCCCAGCTCCCCAGTGGGACCGCGGTATCCGGGGGGTCCTCGAGCGCCAGGGTGACCAATCGAGCCCGGAGGCCCTGGGGGCCCAGGGGGCCCAGCTGGACCGGGCCGGCCAATGGACCCCGGTGCCAAAGGCTTCCTTAGGTGCGCGGCTAACTGTGCAATTTGTTCTTTGGGAAAACAAGGGTGCAAGCGTTTGAGAGAGGGTCATGAAAAGTACTGTTGGGTAAGCACAGAAGACCTACACAGGGCTGCCCTTCTGAAGGAAGATTTCCTTCTCATTGATGGCAGAGCTGCCCTTCAGAAGGAAGATTTCCTTCCTTCTCACTGATGGAAAATGGTTTCACTGCTTTGGGGTGATAAGTGCCAGAGCTAGAAAGGACCCCCCAGCCCTTTAGACCCCGAGAAGCCTGAGAGTGAGAAGGCGAAGCAGGTAGGGGTGTTTGGGACCTGCCCTGCCAGCCACAGGGGCACACTCAGCTGTTCCTTGTACCCCATGCAGTCAGCAGATTTCAGGATGCCTGCTGCATGTCAGGCATCTGGTTGAATCCAGGGCCGGCGAGGGGGCCACCCTCTAGTGCAGGGGATGGGCAGACGCCCAGGCAGACTGGACCCCCGAGGGCTAACAGGTGGGTGAGTGCTAGCGGCTCACTTTGGCTGGAAAGTGGTGATTTGAAGGCTCTGTGGGTAGCCGCAGGCACAGGGACCCCAGGCAGGGATGGGCATCGTGTGCGCATGGCTTACTTACCGCTGATCATCCCCCCACACAGCTCCCTGATGCGCTGCTCACTGGCCTCCTTCCCCTGGAAGTCACCCACACATTGTCAGCATGGGGACGGCAGCTTCTGTCAAACAGTCCCACCATCACCCCCAAAGTAACTTCATTTAGGAAAAAACACCATCTCAATCCTGTGAGAGCTGGAAAAGCAACGTACCGGAACGCCCGGCTTCCCTGTGATGCCAGGAACACCTGGGATGCCCTGGAGGCCCAGAGGACCAGGGGGGCCAGGGACACCCTCAACACCGCTGGTGCCGTTGGGACCCTGGATGCCTTTGGGGCCCAGCTCCCCTCGACTGCCAGACTGCAGAGAAACAGGACAAAGGGGGGTCGGGACAAGCCCAGGAGCCCAGAGCCGCTCCTGCATGCTCTTTCCCAGCCGGCACAGAGCCATCTTGCCCAGCCTTGACCAGAGCAAGCATTTTTACCATCTCAGATCTGGGAAGTGCCCTGCCCAGCGATGGGCAGGAAGCCAGCAGGCACCCTCAGATTGTATCATGGGAGCAGCTGCCCAGCACTCACCTCTCCTTTGGGTCCGACCAGGCCGCTAGGACCCTGTGAGGAAGAAGGTTGTGTTTTAACTAAGTGTTTATTGTGGATGGGTGGGAGGTGGACAGCTGAAGATAAAATGACCACATCATCCACATACCTGCTATCAGGACTACATCAAAGTATTGACTGTGGCTCCTGTTCCTCTACCTACATTTTTACACTGCTGTGATTGTACTGATTCTTTTTAAAAATGTACTTTCAGCTAGGCGCAGTGGCTCACACCTGTAATCCCCAGCACTTTGGGAGGCTGAGGCAGGCAGATTACGAAGTCAGGAGTTCAAGACCAGCCTGACCTGACCAATTGGTGAAACCCTGTCTACTAAAAATACAAAAATTAGCCAGGCATGTTGGCAGGCACCTGTAATTCCAGTTACTTGGGTGGGGGGCAGTGGCGCTGAGGCAGGAAATCGCTTGAACCTGGGAGGCAGAGGTTGCAGCGAACCGAGATCATGCCACTGCACTCGAGCCTGGGTGACAGAGTGAGGCTCCATCTCAAAATTAACATCACAACCTACTTTCTGGGGAAGAGTGACTGGTGGCTGCACAGGGCTGTGTCTTATACACATGATTTCGTTTCCATTCCTCTTACTCGCATGCCTGATGCTGAGCTCAACCTCTCGGTCCTAAAACCCTGGGCCCCTCCAGCTGGGTCCTCAGGCATGACAGGCCCCAGGTGTGTCAACACACAGTCTGCTGGGTTTGAATGTCTCCAAAACACATGCTGCCGTTGAACTGCTGCTGTGACGCTATTGAGAGGTGGAGCCCTTAAGAGGTGCTTAGGTCTTGAGAGCTCTGCCCTCCCGAGCAGCTTCACCCATGGGCGCCGTGGTCCCAGCTACTCGGGAGGCTGGAGCAGGAGAATCACTTGTACCCCGGAGGTGGAGGCTGCAGTGAGCGGAGATCCCGTCATTCTGCACTCCACCCTGGGCAACAAAGCAAGACTCCCTCTCAAAAAATAAATTCACTAAATGAAACACAACTGAGGTCATTCACATACAACTGAGGTCATTTGTCCAGAGGCATAAATGTTTACATTGGGCTGTGGGGGTCAGCCAGAGACTGGGTCTCTGGGGCTACACTGTTTCTATTTCACCCAGACACAAAGGAAAGACTTAATAAGAATAAAAACCCTGGCCTTGGGAAAGCCAGAAGAGTCTTCCTTCTCTGGAACTGGAGATGGCTATATCTGTTACCTCCGGAAGGAGAAACGTGTCTATCAAGAGACTCAAACAATTTCATTATATGCTTCACCTGAGTTTTAGGCTCGTGGAAATGGAGTTTTCTTTAGTTAAAAACAGCTGTGTGCCGGGCACAGTCGCTCACGCCTGTCATCCCAGCACTTTGGGAGGCCAAGGCAGGCGGATCACCTGAGGTCAGGAGTTTGAGACCAGCCCGACCAGACATGGTGAAACCCTGTCTCTACTAAAAATACAAAAATCAGCTGGGTGTGGTGGCAGGTGCTTGTAATCCCAGCTACTCCAGAGGCTGAGGTAGGAGAATTGCTTGAATCCAGGAGGCGGAGGTTGTGGTGAGCCAAGATTGTGACAGTGCACTCCAGCCTGGGTGACAGATCAAGACTCCGTCTCAAACAAAACAAAAAAAAACCCAGTTGTGACTACTTCATGCCAAGAACCCACAGATGGGGTGGTTTCTGCAGGTGGTGCCACTCTGCAGGGCAGAGCATGGGAGCCTCACAATTCTGGGCACCAGGTGAGGTCAGACTCCCGAGCTGCCTCTGGCCTCTGCCAGACCCTGCTGTATCCCCAAGCCACCCAGCAGAGCTGATCTTCCACTGGGAGCTGCGGATTTTGACCTTGTCCCCAGGACGGCTTCCCAGCTGCTGGTGACAGTAAAGTCACCTCATCACACTCACCGGTTCTCCTTTATCCCCAGGAAGACCGTCGGAACCTGCAATGCCCTGAAAACAATACACCCCAAAGTTAAAAGAATGGTTCATGCCTTCAACTCCCAGCTCTCAAGCCTCGTGGGTGTAATGTCCATCCTGAGGCTGAGGCCAAGAGCCCAGGCCCACAGCTGTCTTAACCAGCCATGAAGGCAGCCCAGGCAGGAGCCTGCCTTGGGAGACCTGTGTGTGTGTGTGGGGGGGGGGGGGGGCGGGCGACGAGGCCACTAAGCGGAAGATATTTGTTTTCATAACGAGGCTTTTCTGCCGAGCAGAACCTGGGTAGGGGTTGATTGCTGCAGGCCCTACAGCCGTAGGGAAAGGCCTCGTTCCCAGAAGTCAGGGCAGGCACTGCAGGAGGGCAGAGCAGCCATGATCACGGCCCCACCCACCCTGATGCTTCTCTGGAGAGAAAAGTGCTTTGAAGAACAGAAATGCATTTCGAATCCGCCTGCAAAGCCCCTGCCCTCTGTCAGTTCTCCAGGACAGCAGGAAACAGCTCCTCCCCCTGAGGGTTCCCACCGTGTGCTTCCTGGACCAGAAGCAGCTTTGTTGCACCCAGAGCCATGCAGGGACAACATGGCTGGCCAGCTGTTTGCACCCAGGAAGGCGGCAGGGGATGCTGGGGTGCCCAGAATTGCTGTCGCTGTGCTAAGCGGAATGACAGGAGCCAGAAAGGGTGACCGATGGACACAGCAGGAGGAGAAAGAGGGTCAGCATCTGGAACACAGCCAGGGCTGGAGCCGGGGCGGGTGGAGCCCGGGAGAAGCTGTGCAGCTTTGCGGTCATTCCTTCTGACCCGGCCTGTGCCCAGCTCACCTGGTCTCCCTTAGGTCCTGCAGCGCCTCCAGGACCCTAGGGGTGGAGCGAAGGCTCTGGATTAGAGGAATTACAGGAATCCCTAAAGTGAGCTTGTTCTGGGCCCAGGAATGGTAACCACCACCTCCATCCTCATCGTCCTGCACAAAGGCCTTCTGTGAAACCCGGGGTCCCAGACATGGGCCCAAAGGCCACGCTCTCGTTCACAGCCCTATGGCTCTGAGTCTCCCCTTGTGGGTAGTGAATCGTTTGTAACACCCATGACTTCCTGTGGGTATTTTTGCAAAGTCCCAGGGTAATTCCATCGCAGTGGAGTCAAAGATGCAAAAGCTCATCTAACACCTTCCCACGGGATTGTGAAACTGAAGACATGCCTGGGCGCTGCTATGAATCCCCTTTAAAAAACATCCATCTGCTCACAGGTCTGCATAAGTGAGAATTTGACCAAGGGGCAGGAGTGTGAGGCTTTCCGGTGAGTTTAGAGCAAAAGGCAAATGCAGCCACCAGGCCCCGCCCACACTTGGGACAGGCACAGTGCCCGAAGGGCGGGTGCCAGCATCGAGATCTCGGAGGCCCTGAGGTTGCTGGCCTCCACCCCTGGAATGTCCTGCCTGGCACTAACAAACAGCCTGCTATCCCCCACAGAGCTGTGGTGTCTGCAGCCCTGCCACTGACCTGGAAGGGCACCTGCAGCCATGTCCCATGTCTGAAAAGAGTTCTGTCTGCCTAGCAGGGGCAGCCATGGCAGGCACATGAGGTCTCCAGGGACCTGGTGGAGCATGGCTGGGGCCCAGGCCAGACCCACAGGCTCCTCCCCATGAGCTGGGGCCCTGGGCAGGCCACGTCCCCTTCTGCGCTGACCCCCAAGGAGCCATCACTGCAGCTGCTGCAAGACCAGCAGGAAAAAGCCTTGATGAGACAGAAGCTGTGACTGTTACAGTCACTTGGGACGCTGGTGTTCAAACCGATTTTGTAGCATCGTGACCCTCTGGCAGTGGCGCCTCCGCAGACACTGCTAGACAGGAGCAGGCATGCTTCTCGGAGCCTCAGCCTCCCCCCATCCTGAGGAATGTGTGCTGACCATGTGCAGGCCCCCGCCAGGCCTCTACGCAGGGCAGGAGGCAGAGCCCCACAGCCGCTGCACACAGGAACACCACGTGGAAGGTCAGAGGGGCCAAAGGTGCCACATTCAGGGCCCTGATGCCACTGCCTCCACCATGCAGGGGGACCCCACCCATGGCCAGATGTCCCACAAGGAGCTGTGAGTGCCCCTCCCTGTCTGCATCCCAAGGGACCATGTAGGGGTGGGGGTGGGGCACAGGGGTGCTTGCTGCTGAGAGGGCCACTTACCCGGTCACCCATGTCACCCGGAGGCCCTGGGGGCCTGGAAGGCCAGGGTCTCCCATGCTGCCCTTCCGGCCCTGGGGAAGGAGGTCCTGGTTTGTCAGTGCCTGTACCCAGTGCACCTGGCCCGTCTGAGTCACCCCCATGCCAGGCCCTTGCCCCAATGTCACCTACCTGGAAGCCTCGGACACCAGGGGCTCCGGGAGGGCCTTGTGGGCCAAGGGCCCCCTGAAAGACAAAGGTGAGGTGTGAGTAGATGTCTCAAGGTTCGAGGAATCCTAGGGAGCCCGGTTCAGCCTCCCCTCCTGGGTGGATGCAGGAGTCAGTCCTAAGCCACCTGGCTGAGTTGCTGGGGACAGCGGCAGGGCTACCTCCCAGAGGCAGCTTAGGGGGTCCCAGAGCTCAGGCATGCCCTGGACCCAGCTTGTCAGGCCAGATTCAGAGCCAGGCACCCATGCCCATGGTCCCCCTAGGACCTGTGGCTGGTGCTGTCATTATCTCAGTCTCCGGGGGCAGAAGGCTGGGCTTAGCACAGAGGGCCCGAAAACAGGGCAGCTCTGGCCCAGCCCTGACTGTCTCCCAGTGGTCTAGGGTACACCTTGGCTTTTGTGGGCCTGGCCCATCGAGGCAACCAAATGCCACGCCACCCTGCTCAGAAACTGGGCCCACCTGCCGATGGTTCCGTGCCAACCCCCACCCAGGGCCATGTCTCTGTACTCACCGCTGAGCCCCTGTGGCCAGCCTCACCGCGTTCCCCAGGCATGCCAGCGTCTCCCTACAGGAAGGGGAAAGAGGGTATGAGGGCAGGGTCCATGCATATGTGGGATGGGGTGAGGTCAGGGGTGCTGCAGATACTCACAGGGACACCTGGCTCTCCCGAGGGGCCGGCCTCACCCAGCTCCCCAGCTCTGCCCTGCAGAGTAAGGAGAGCCGTGAGAGCCTGCCCACACCTGCATCAGGGCCAGTTGCTGGCATCCTGGCCCTCACCCCCCTCCCAGGGAGAAAGCAGCTGCATCACGTACCCGTTCTCCCTTCTCGCCTTTGGAGCCTGCTCGTCCGGGGAGGCCCTGCCAGGAGAGCGCATGGGGTCAGGGCTGCCTGTCATGGCATGTGCACATGGCAGGTGCTCGTGAACAGAGAGTGAGTGCACCCAAAGGGCAGGCCGACTGCTCCCGGCCCCGTCGACCTTAGGTGCGGTTTTCACAGCCTCCCCGCCTTGGACACAGGAGTCCCTGCTCAGGACCCAGGGGGGTGATGACCCCATGGCACCCGAAAATGGCCATGAACACATTCACGTATGTGCAAACACACGGGCAACCGTCCGCAGTGCCCAACGGGCACCAGGGGTTGTGCCAGGCCCTGACTGACACAGGCCCCAGAACCTCTCAAAGGAAGCCAGCCCTACAGTGAACCCACCCACACAGCCCCACAGGGGCCACTGGGCAGGCAGAAGCTGTGGCGCCCCAGGCCGGCCCACCCTCTGGCACTCACTGGCAACCCGTTGGGGCCCTTCTCTCCCGGAGCACCATTGCGACCAGCCTCTCCCTGCAAGGATAGAAATTGGGGCAGAGAAGGGGAGGCTGAGACCTCGGGAGGCTGAACTGCCCTCCAGCCCCTTCCCTCCCTCCCATCACACCCTCAGCCCCATGCCAACCTTCTGGCCATCAAGTCCTGGCACGCCATTCCGGCCATCCTTGCCTGGCATGCCCTGGGGACAAGGGACGAGTAAGGCCCGTTGGGCAGGGGGCCACCCCCTCCCTCTACAGTCCTGTCCTAGAGGCAGCCTCCTCCTCCATCATCCTAAAACTGTGGCTTCCCCCAGGCTCTGACAGTTGTCTGGTTTCATGACCAAGGTGGCCACGCCGGTGAGGGGTACAGCAAAGGCCAAGGCCTCGTCTACCAGGTGTACCGTGGTGCCCTAAGGGAGCCTTGATTCTGGTCCATTTTGCAAGTGGGAAACTGAGGTTTGGGAGCTAGGACTCAGGCCAGGCCTGCCTCGTCCACCCTGGACTGGCTTTGGAATCAGGACACAGCCAAGTGCTGGGTGTCCCAAGAAAGGGCACTTCTCAAGGGGCAGAGGCAACACAAGGGGCTGGAAGAGGGTGGGCACAAGGCAGGAAGGACCCTGCACAGGTACCCAGACCCCGCGAGTGCCCCCCTCTGCCCAGCATGCACAGGTGCCCGGGACCCCAGGAGTGACCCCCTCTGCCTAGCCTGCACAGGTGCCCGGAACGTGGGAGTGCCCCCCTCTGCCCAGCCTACACAGGTGCCCGGGATGTGGGAGTGCCCCCTCTGCCCAGTGGCGCTATCCACCCACCCTCACTTCCCATGCATGTAGGCAGACCCAGCCTGAGACTCCCCTACTCCACATTCCTGAGGCTCTGGGCAAAAGAGAACTGTGCGGGGCTGTTCAGGCGTTATTCTGGATCTCAAGATGGCCACAGCAGAGGGCACTGAGCCCCAGCCATTCTGAGTGTGGTCTCTGCCTATTAGCCAGGACTCCCGGGAGAAGCATTCTATGAGGAACCACAATATGCACTCACCGGCTCTCCACTTGGCCCGGCTACTCCGGGGGTTCCCTTGGGACCAGGTCTGCCCTAGAGGACACACAAGTGACAGAAGCAGTGGTGGTCTCTTCCCAGACGGCCTCACACGCTCCCCAGCCAGTGGCTTACGGACACCAAGGAGCTGTGCTCCGGCGGGGCAGCAACAGGGGCCACCCCTCACCACCACCCTGGGCCTGTGGGTGTGTGGAGAAAACTGTTTGGAGCACAGAGATGCTAGAGTGTGGCACGGGGGCTCCCTGTTGCTCCGGCCTTGAGGGCTCAGTCGAGGGAGGAGCGGAGGCTGACCAGCTTGCTGGAGTGTGGCACGGGGGCTCCCTACTGCTCCGGCCGGGAGGGGTCAGTCGAGGGAGAAGTGGAGGTGAGCTTGGGACCAGCTTGGGGACGGTCACTTCAGTTCCTCTCTTGCAACGCTCGACTGTCTCTGGACCTTATGTTCACTTGCTCCACCCAAGAGCCGTTTCTCTGGGGCGGGATCTAAAGCCTGAGTCTGGTCTCCCCACCCGACTTGGCTACTCTGCAGGGGGCCATGGAGCTCCCATGTGGTCTTTGGGAGAATGGCTGGGGCCAGGGAGGGAGTCGGGGCCCTCCAGGGCCAGGTACCCCCAGCCAGGGCAGCCCCTTCAAGTGTCCCCAACAGGTGGCACCCCCAGGTGTGTCCCCCTCCCCAGCACAAGTCAGGAAGGGAATTGGGTTCTTCCACATAAGGACCCAGGGAGTCAAGTCCCCTCTCACTTACGAGGTCACCCTTGGGGCCACGGAACCCTTCTGGGCCCCTCTCGCCTCGATCACCCTGGAAATGATGGGGGCAGGGCAGGGACAGAGTTAACACCATGGAGATGGTCAGAGGGTGGGGCTGGGGCCCTCCAGGAGATGGTCAGATGGTTAAGGGTGGGGGACAGCTCTCCAGGAGTGGTCAGAGATGCCAGAGGTGCCAGAAGGACGATGGTGATCCCTCGTTCCATGTCCAGAACCGGAAAGGAGGCAAATGTCCCACAAAGAATGGGTTTCATTGGTAAGCTGCCCCTACCCATGCCACAAGCCCTCCCAGGGTGTCCAGGGGACAGCTCAGCCACAGAAGGGGGGCCCCAGCGGGGATGGGGGGCTCTGAGAGGAGTAGAGGGAAGGAGAGAGAGGCCATGACACATGGCACCCACATCCACCAACACGTACCGCCTTCCCGGGCACTCCTGGGATCCCAGGCGGCCCTCGGAACCCGATGGGACCCTACAGAGGAGAAGCAGACCTGGGGTCCTCTAGTCTGAGGCCTGGCCAGCATCCCCCCAACCACCCAGCTCCCTCAGGGGCGGCCCAGACACAAGCAGCCCTTCCTTGAGGGCTCCTCAGCAGTTTCCCCAAGACACCCCCAGCAGTCCCCAAATCCCTGTTGCCCTCTGCTCTGGCCTAGGCCATAACAGCCCTCACAGCAGCCTGGCACGGTGTGTGTGGGTGTCAGCACACAGAGGTCATCAGCCCTCTCCCAGTACACGCGTGAGCAGCCCTCGCAGCAGCTTGGGACCTCGTGCAGGGGTCGGTGAGTGCTGACTGTCTGCCCTCACCCAGGCATACGTGGGAACAGGGGCTCACAGCAAGGCCTGTGCCATGACAGCGACAGCCAGAGCCTCACTCATCTGAAGTCTGGAGGTGCAGACGACCAGGCCCAGCTACCAGGGGCTGCAGGACTTACCCGGTCCCCAGGGGGCCCGAGTGGCCCTGGCAGTCCTCGTAATCCCCGGGGGCCCTGCGGCAGGGAGGCACAGATGCAGAGGCTGGTGCTCCACCCCCACCCCTCGAGCCCCAGGGCCTTGGCTCTCGGGATACGTGGGAGCCCTGGTGTCTTCCATGAGCCCTCAGCCTCAGTTCAGGTCTCTCAGAGGGAGGGGACACCAGCCTTGAGATCAGCAGCCTTGTCAGAGGTGGGCCCCCCGCCAGCTCCTGTACTTGGGCACTAGCTGACCGTCCCCCAGCCTGAGCTGGCCCCCTTGAAGCAGAAATGTGCAGGGCTTTGTCATTCAGTGGGCTGAGTTCCCATCACACCATCCTGCCCTTCCCAGACTCACCTGCAGCCCCACGCTGCCCGGGAGGCCGGCAGGCCCAGGGGGGCCAGGGTCACCCTGAAGCGGAGGGATAAGTGGTCAGTGGTCCATTCTGGCTCTCCTAGCACCTTCTGGGGCCTCCAGTCACCCCACTTGAGCCCCAGCAGCTGGGGGTGTTGCCCCCTTCACAGCTGGGTCTTGAAGGCTCTGTTAAGGGGTTACCTGCCCACAGTTCCAGAGAGGTCCCAAGTCTTGGCCTCACCCTGTCAGGGCTGGGGCTGTGGTCACTGTTCCCATAAGTCCCCTCAGCCCTGTCCAGGCCCCTCCTCAGGGCCAAACCAGACCCCTCTGATGTGCATATGGGGTCCCCTCCTTTGGTCACTCCAGCCATGTCAAAGGGCATCCCAGACCCGGTCCCCGGCCTGCAGGTGATGACGAACGGACACCCTCCATGGACAGTGGCTACAGGTGAGGGGAGGCTTCAGGCTAAAGCCGGCCATCCTCACAGATGCCCCTCACCCTGGCCACAGACACAAACCAGGGAGCTTCCACAGAGGGGCAAGGCAGGAGGGGTCCGTCCAGAGACCCTGCCCAACTCCCAGCTCTGACCAGCCAGGCCGTCTGGAAGACAGGCACACAGGTGCCTGGCTCATTAAACAGCCCCTCCTGGCTGCTGTGCTGAAGCTTTACCATCTCACTGTCCCCCCAGCCCCTGTCCCAGCCCCCGTCCCACCCCCTCCAGGCTGCTGTTTGTGGCAGCTTTACTGTCTCGCTGTCTCCAAAGCCCCGTCCCCCACCCTCTGGGTTTTACCTTCTCGCCGTCCTTGCCTACTTCCCCTTGCTCGCCTTTATAGCCAGTGGGTCCCTGAAAGCAAACTCAGGGTCACTGCCCCACCCAGACCCCCCAGTACCCTCCCTGGTAGCACTGAAGTGAGGCCAGTAGGGCTGGTCAGCCCAGGACCCACCACACAGCAGCAAACAGGACTGCCGGCCTGGGACCTCATGGGGAAATTGAGGCCTGAGAGGCGCTGGGACCCACCTGAGGGTGCTCAGCGGTCAGGAGTGGAGCAGGGCAGGGCTGTGGTGGAGGCTTGAGGCCAGCTCTCTCCCACACCCTCTCTCTGATGCCCATGGCCATTCCCAGCCTGGCCACACCCGTGTGTCACTGGGGTACAGAGGGCAGGACGGGGAGGCCGGCCAACTCCGTCTGGGGCAACCCTGGAAGCAGGGCCCAGCTTTCTGGACCTGCCGCCTCCAGTTTCCCTGCCCGTGGGAGCCCGGCTGCCTCCCACCCAGCGCAGGAGGGTGCTTGGGTCCCAGTCCCCCATGACTCACCTTGAACCCTGGCATTCCTGGGGGCCCTGGGGGACCTGGCGGGCAGATACTTGGGCACTGTTGGAAAACAGAGCAGTCAGACCCCTCCTGGCCAAGTGGAGCAGGACCTACAATGTAGAGGTCAGCACCCAGGACGCAGGAGGTCATTCCACGCTGGTGACAGCACCAGGACCAGACACAGACAGGGTCTCCTTCAGCAGTGGCCAAGTGTGACAGGGGCCGCATGGAGCAGACCGTGGCAAACCCTGCAGCCAGCTCGGATTGCCCAGCTCCACTCTGCAGGGGGCCTGGCGGTGCCTCAGGTAGGGCCCATCTCAGTGCAGGAGCGGCTCAGCATGGGGCTTGTAGGAGGGTGCTGCCGTGAGCCCAGGCAACAGGCTCAACAGTCAGGAAACCTAGGGCTGGTTCTAGATTACCCCGCAGCTGCACTGGGCAGGCTGGGCCAAGGTGCAGGCCTGTGTCTGCAGCCCCAGCCCCACTCAGCCCATGGCCAGGGGTCCAGTCACTCACCACATTCTGAAGATTCGTTTAAAGCCTCCCTTCTGAGACACAGGCTGGCTAGGGACCCGGGCCAGGGGGTAGGGTGAGGAGAGAGGCTGGTAGACAGCCATGGTCAGGTCACAGTGGGGCAGGCTTTTCCCTTCAAAACAATCAAACCTCTCTATCTATGGAAACAAGGTGTGGACTGCTACCACGGACACCCAAACAGAAAGGAGAGATGCATCCGCGGCCTCCCAAGCCCGTTTTCTTTCCTCTGTTTTTTTTTGAGACAGGGTCTAGCTTGGTTGCCCAGACTGGAGGGCAATGGCTTGACCATGGCACACTGCAGCCTCCACCCCTTGGGCTCAAGTGATTCTCCCACCACAGCCACCCAAGTAGCTGGGACAACAGGCATGTCACCATGTCTGGCTACTTTAAAAGTTTTTTTTGAGGCCGGGTATGGTGACCTCACACCTGTAATCCCAGCACTTTGGAAGGCTGAGGCAGGCGGATCACAAGGTCAGGAGTTTGAGACCAGCCTGACCAACATAGTGAAACCCCGTTCTACTAAAAATACAAAAAATTAGCCAGGTGTGGTGGCGAGCACCTGTAATCCCAGCTACTTGGGAGGCCGAGGCAGGAGAACTGCTTGAACCTGGGAGGCAGAGGTTGCAGTGAGCCGAGATTGTGCCACTGCATTGCAGCTCAGGTGCCAGTGTGAGAATATGTCTCAAAGAAAAAGTTTTTTGTAGAGACAAGGATCTCACTATGTTGTCCAGGCTGGTCTCAAACTCCTGAGCTTAAGTGATCCTCCTGACGTGGCGAGCCACTGCGCCTGCCCTGAGCCTGTTTTCTTTTTACTCAAATTACAAGGGTCAAAGATCAAGGTAAAGGTGGGTCCCAGACTCCTGTCCCTCACTGTGCCGAGGACTCTTCTGTCACCATCTGTGAGCAAGGGCACCCTCTGCAAGGATGATGCAGCAAGGCACTGGGTGGCTCCATGGCATGACTGGTTAATTACATTGGCAAAGCTCCATGGGCCTCATGGCTCTCTGTGAGGGACAGTGTACGTCTAGACGGTGGTGAGGATGGTGGGAGGGGAAGGGGGGATGTCCCAGCTGCATTCTCTGCCAGGTTGTACCTGAGCTGTCTGCACTGAGCTCCCAACCCCAGGCCACACCCCTGCCCCCCAAGGTAGGCACCCCCCAACCCCTTCACAAATTGCTGCAAATGCCCACCTGGAGGTCAGCAGCGCCTTCAGGGAGGACTCCTGGGTGTCCCTAAAACACAGAGACCGCTGACTTTCTCCCATTTGCCCTGGCCACCTGCACCCACCCAACCCACCCACTCTCTGACTGATTGCCACCTTCCCCACCTGTGAGGGAACTTGGAGACCCTTCACCCCATCCCCCAAGTGGCCAGTGCTGGGTGCTGCTGGGCCCACCTACAGGGCATGTGACGGTGACAGAATCCACCTGTCCTTGGGGCAGGGTGGCCTTAGGGACCTGAGCCCTGACCATCCCCAAGTTGGCTGGCCTAGTCACAGCCAGTTCCCCCACCCTGACTGTTCCTGGGAGTGGCCAAGTTAGGTTAGGAGCTCCTGGAGGGGCAAGGAGACTGGGGGGGGCATGGAGCCCAGGAGGGGAAACGGGGGTCCAACCTGGTGCCCTAGTCCCTGCCTATCACTTCTCAGCACCTCTGCCTAGTACTTACAGGGGGTCCGGGAAGTCCTGGGGGGCCAGGAAGGCCAGGGAGCCCAGAAGGTCCCTGGGGAGAGGGTATGACTTAGACAGAGCGGGACCAGCCCCCACCTGAGTGAGGTGCCCGGTTTCTCCCAGGGAGGAGGACACACCCAGCTCCCGCCAGCTCCCACTCCCACGCCCACTCCCACTCCCACTCCCACTCTCACTCTCACTCCCACTCCCACTCCCACTCCCACGGCATCCTGAGGTTGGGTTTGGGTCACTGGCCAGGGTTTCTACCAACATCCCACAAGGTGGGAGGCGGGGGAGAAAGGGGAAGGGGAGAGGGGAGGGGGGACGACTCTCAGGGGGTCTGGGACAGCCACTCACCGGGGGGCCTCGGAGGCCGATCCCACCTGGGGAGCCGCTCACTCCTGCCTCTCCCGGAGGGAGTCAAAGAGAGGTGGGGAGGTCTGTACCAGGAGCCCCAAGGGTCCCCCACAGGGTCAGTGTGCCACCTCCCCAGGGAGGGGCTCCAGGTGTGGGGTGGTCAGATGCTGCCCCTGAGAAGCCCTGCCCCCAGGCACAGTTTGGGACAGCCCAGCCTGGCAGGCTCTGGGAACATGCACGTTTGCTCAGGCCCCAGGGGTTGTCAGTACTCACAGGGGGTCCAGGAAGGCCTTTGCCCTGCAAAACCAAGTGTGGGTCACAGCCTGCACAAGACAGGCTGTGCTTCCACCTCCCTAAGATGATTCAGGTGGGTCCCAGGGAAAGGGTGTTTCCAGGGATGGGTGTCTGTTCCCAGCCCAGAGATGGCTCTAGGACCTAGTGCAGGCGCCCGCCCCTGGAGAGGCTGCAGAGAAGAGGGCCAGGCATGGCCTCTGGGATTGCTGGAGGCCCCCGATTTAGGCCAGATTCTAGCTCCTCAAACTCCCACAGAAAGGAAAAAGACCATACTCACCCCCAGCCCGGGTGGCCCCGGGGGTCCCAGACTTCCCTGTGGAGGAAAGGAGGCATCTAGGTTGGGCTGGGCCTCTATTTGCAAACCCGTTCCCCTCGTCCGAAGTGTGACCCCACAACGCCAACTCCCAGGCCACCAGCCTGAAGTCCCACTTCACACAGGGCAGGGCCTCGGAGCCCTCTCAACATTGAGGGTCCTTTGCTGTCCTGGGACGCTGCTGGACAAATGGCACTAGAGTCCCAGCACCCACCGCAAGAATGCGCAACCTGGGGCAGGTCTGAAGTGCACAGAAGTGACCCCAGGTGCCTGTCTTCCCAGGAAGCCCTCCCAATAACCCACCCACACAGCCTGCTGGGTCCTCAGCCCTGCCCATGTCAGCAAGCCCCAGAGCCTTGGGCAGCCAGGCCCCATCTGCCCTCCACGCCCTCTGGGCCCTGGCTGGGCCCGGCTGCCGGAATCCCCGTTCCCTGGATGAAGAAGCACAGCCAGGCCCTGTGATGAGGCCGGAGGCCCCTCCTGAAAGCCTGGGGATGAGCCCGCCCCAGAGCCCAGGCACTGGGAACTTGGCTGCCAGCAGCTACTGTTTCCCTCCTGTTTTCTGCTCAGAATGTGCCTCCCAAGGGCAGGGCTGTGTCCTCGTGTCCCCGGCCCAGCCTTCCTGCCCTCTGTGATGCTCTGTGCCTGGGGCCAGTGGCACCCGTTGGCTGATGGCCACTTCTTATGAGGGCAGAAGAGAGAATGCTGGTTTCAGTTTTGTACTCAGAAGCCATGTGGGGAGAAGGGCATCCTTGGGTGGGGGTGCCACTCAGGGTGAAAAAACTGTGTCCAACAGGCAGGCACAGGGAATTCTGCAGGCTGCGTTCCCCAGGGGTCCCTGGTGGTGGTTCACCCGGGGCCCTGGGGGCTGCAGGGACACTATGAGGAAGAGGGGGGCGCCTGGGCTGGGTCCCCCAGACCATCCCTGTCCTCCCTGCCATAGTCTGGATGCCAGGATAACCCTGATTGTATGTCGGGGTGGGCAGGAGGCAGGCACTGGGGGCTGGCCACTTGATACCCTGCCTTTCACCCCTCCACCCCACTGCATGGGCAGGGCCCGGCCAGTCCCAGACGCGGCAGCTGTCCTCAGAACCACCAGCTCTTTGGCCTTGTGAACACAGAACGGCCAGAGGTGGCCGGGGGACCTCACTTCTGAACTAAAGCCACTAGGTTTGGTGCAGGCACTTACCCGTTCCCCAGGGGCACCCTTGGGTCCAGGGGGTCCATCTCTCCCAGTGAGACCCTGGGGAAAGAGGCAGAGGGGGAGCTTGAGGGGCCACATGGGAAGTACCTGCCACCCCCAGGCAAAAATGGAACCATGAACCCTTCCCTTGGTGAGTTCAGAGAGGCACAGAAAACTCTGTGCTGGCATCTTCCTCTGTTGGCCCCAACCACTGTCTGCCAGGTGTCCCTAGAGGGCCTGGGAGAAGGGGGCAGCTATCGGGAAGCCAGCAACAGAGACACCTGCTGGAGTCAGGCCATGGGGACCAATTCAGCAGGACATCCCAGGCCCGGCTTCAAGGGAACAAAGCTCCAGTGTTCCTGGGGGCCACGACGACTGAGCGAGGCTAGCCTGGGGCTCATGGGCCAGGCCAGCAGTGGGCAGAGGGGCCTGACAATGGGCACTGGCTCCTGGACAAGGAGGGCTGGCAGGACTTCCAGCTCCACTGTGGGCTGGCTCTGTCCTCTGTCAGATGCAGGTGACGTCTGGGATAAGGGCCAAAGGACCCCTGTTGGGGACTTCTGGAGACTTCTATCAGGACTGGGCTTCCCGCCTGAGCAGGCCCAGCTGGACAACAGCAATTAAGGCTGATTCCTCCAGGTCCCCAGTGGGGGGGAGTGGAGTGAGGGGAGAGGGGCGGGCACACTCACATCAACACCCGGCAGTCCCGGCAGCCCAGCCTCTCCTGGTTTCCCCAGCTTTCCTGGGGCCCCCTTTGGTCCCTGTGCAGAAGGAAAGGGCAGAGATGTAAGGGCTAGGTCTGGCCTGGAGCCCGGGCCTTCAGCAAGAAAGCAAAATGCTTTCCACCTCCCCACGCCCAGCCACATGAGATGGCCCCCTCTCCTCCTGCTGCCTAGCAGATCTTGCCCAGCTGAGTCACATGTGTCCTGCTTGCCCACACCTTGCTGGCCCAGGAAGGCTGCCCGCCCCATCCCTCGGTGACATCTATAAGACCTTCTGGTCACTTCAGCCTCCCTGGTTAAGGGCCAGCAGGCATCTCTGTGGGACCCACAGGAGGCCCAGACAGGGCTCTGAGCCCCAGGACCCTCAATCTCTGGAGCTGAAGAAGGTGGGAGGGCTCTGTGCAGCCTCAGGCCCGGGGGACCTACAGGACTGTACCAGCTCCAGCCCTGGCTTGCCTGGCACTGGCCCAAAGAAAGCTTCAAGCCAGGCCCTGCCCAGAACATGCTGTGGCTGAGCCCACAGGCTCCCCTCCTACCCCCTGGCTCTGGGCCTGCTCAGGGCCCTCTGAGGCCTCCCCTCAGGCAACCCAGGCTCTGACAGGATGAGACAGGACATCAATGACTCCTCTGTTCCATGTCCCCTCTTCTCTCCAGACTGGAAAAAGGCTGTTTCCCTAGCCAGGAACACTTACTGGGGGCCCAGGCAGACCCGGAGGACCAGCTTCTCCCTGTGAGTAAAGATGCTCATATGTGACCCTGAAAATGAGAGGTCCTCCAGAACCCCGCCTCAGGGAAAAGAGCAGCACTAGCCCCCAAACCAGCCCCAGAGGCCTGGCCCAAGAAGACAAAATGGGACCCTGAGCCCCCGATCCATACCTAGGGGGCAACCCCCCATGTATGGGGCAGCACCCAGGCAAAGAGGTGACCTGGGCAGACAGGCTCAGCCCTCACAGCCACAGGGGGTGTGGGAACCACTTTGCAGATGTGGGGACATGGCCCCCAGGGGTGATGGGAATACTTGGCGAATCCCCTCCCTCAGTGGCCTGGGGCTTTAGGAAGACGGCCTGGGTGTTGGGCAGCCTCTCGGTTCCGTCTGCAGCCTCTTCAGTGTCCTAAAAGTCCCCCAGCCCCCACCCTGTTGATGACCACCAGGCCTTTAACTGAGACTTCAAGACCAGGTTTCAAGTGGGAGCTCTGGGGTCTGGGTACCTGGCCCAGGAGGAGCCTAGGGAGGCCAGGACCCTAGGCCATGGGGGTTCAGGTCCACACCACTGCCCTGAGCACAGCCCTGTGGCCAGGGAAGGAGGTCGTGGCCATCGAGGCCGAGCTGGGCAGAGAGGCTGAGGGTGGGTCACGGGGGACTCTTGGTGCAGCCCTCGGAAGGAACCACATAGGCAAGGACAGGCCCTGAGGGAACCTCTGCCCTGGGGGTGGTGGCCGCATGGGGAGGTTCACCCCAGATAGTCCCTCGGATGGAGGCACAGCTGTCGGGACTCAGCTGCTGCCTCCCGGTGCTTGGGCCACACCAGGCCTGAGATCCCGGTTGGGGACATCATCTCTGGGACAGAGTCAGCTCCTGAGCCCCTCCTTGGCTGGCTCTAGCACCCAGCAGCCCCGACAAGACCCCCGGCCCCTATCCACCCAAAGGATGTGGCCCCCCTCCCCCTGCCTCCATCCACTCCTCCCCACCTCAACCCAGGGGCCAGAACCCAGAACCCAGGGGCACGGCCCCCTCAGGGACCCAGAGACACACACCTCAGTGCCCGCATTCTGGGTAGAGGACCACCACGTGACACCCTCCACCCCTGAGCAGTCCCTGCTGCCCCGTCCCACGGAGGCACTGGCTGCCTCCTGATATCGCCCCGGCTCTGGGAGGTTGGGCTTGGTTTTCCCTCCCGGGAACCCAGGGAGGCAGGGCCCGAGCCAGAACCCCAGAGGGCTGGGGGCCCTCAGCACCCCCAAACTCACATCGATGCCATCCTGGCCGGGCTTTCCGGGTGGCCCTTGGGGGCCGGGGGGGCCTGGGAGTCCCACTTTCTGAAACGGAGAAAAGTCATCAGGGAGGGCGCTTCCTTCCGCGAGGGTGCCCCGGTGGGCCTGACCCAGCGGCTCCAGGGCCGCTAGGACCCCCGCTTTCCTCGGTGAGCCCCAAAGCCTCGGGCGGAGCCAGGTGCCCTGCGCAGTGTGCCCCCGCCTCCCTCGGGCCGCGGGAACAAAGGGCTCCTTGTGCTCTGAGCGGAGGCGGCGGCACCGGCGGACCCGGGCCAGTGCGGACCCAGTGAGGACGCGGCCGGACTGTGCTCTTCCGAGGCGACCTGGGGCTCAACCCGACGCCGGGGACTTCGCGCCTCGACAGCGACACGGGTTGGGGGACTGGAGGCTGCCCTGGGCATCCCAGGGTGGTGGGTTCGGGGCTGGGGCTGTCCCGGGACCTTGCAGCTCGATGTCCCGCCTCAGAGTCCCGAGCCCCCGCTCACCTGTGCCCCAGCGGCCGCCAGGAGCTGCGTGAGCAGGAGCAGGAACGAGGGCAGGAGCCGGGGCAGGAGCGGGGCGAGCGCGGGCGCCTGGGCCATGGCTGCGCGATGTCTGAGCGGTGGCGGCGGCGTCGGGGCCGGCAGATTGTGGCCGGCTGGAGGTGGATGGGAGGGAGGTGGGCGGCCCCTTCCCCTTCCCCGCCCCCGCCCGCACAAGCCCCCCATTCAGCCGGGCCCACCTGGGCGGGTGAGAGCTCCCCTCTTCCCCCTGCCCCGCGCCGCCGCCGCCGCGTCCAGCCCACCAGGGAGAAAAAGAGACGCCGGGCGGCGCGTTCTCTCTAGCCGCGGGTTAAAATTATCCCGGGCCTGGCGCGCCGCACACTCGCAGCTTGAGCAGGAGAGAAAGACGCTCTCTTCTCCCCTCCGCGCCTCAACCAGAGTGTGTGCGTGGGGGTGGGGGCCGCGCTGAAGGGCTCCCTTCAGGAAGCGGGGAGGAGGCTAGTTCTCGAAGCCGCAGACCCTCCTCGGCGCTGGCGCGGCCCCAGGGCCCCAGGCCCAGGAAGACCCGGGGAGGCTGAGTCCGGATCCTGGCGCAGTCCGTGCCCAGCACAGCCCTGGTTCCTGCTCCGGCCCCCGGTCTAGAGCTGCCCGCGGGGCTGGGGATGGCCCCACCATGGACCTGGACGGCCGGGTGTTCAGTCCGCGTCAGCTGCCACTGGCCAAGGCCAGACTCTCGCCCCAGACTCAGTCCCTGGAGAGAGCAGAGCAACGACCCTGGCAGAGGGGAAGAGCACCTCCTCCCCGGGATCCTGAGCCTAAAGGAAAGGTGCTGGCCGTTTCCAACCGGCTCCTCACTGCAGGCACCTTCTTCACCCACTCCAGCCCCACAGCAGCCTGGACTGGGGATGCTGGATCAGCCAGGCACTGCCCCAGTGACGGCATTTCTAGCCTTAAGTCCAGTTCACGGCTTCAGTTTCCCTCCGTGGCAGAAATCCCCTCACTGAGCCACACTGGAGTTGAGGCAGCAGGGGTTCCACAGCTTCCCCGCCCAGCAATAGGGGATTACTGAACCTGGGGTGTCTCCCTCCCAGTGACTTCTGACTTGTGTATCTTGGTGCCACCAGATGGGAGCTGGGCACTTTCCCTGAAGTGGTGCCAGGGTCCACAGCTTTAACCTTCCCACCCAGGGGTACCCAGGGTCCTCCCTGTCCTCCACTGAGCAAAGGCAAGTGTCCGGCCCTTGGAGGAGTCCTGAGCCCTCCTCTGAGGCTCCACAAAAGCCCCTTACAGCACTGATGTAGAAACGTAGGTAAACCGGGAAGGGCGGGGGGGTCCTGGCCCAGGGTGACAAGGCCAGACTGCAGGGAGGGGCTGCCCTGGGGTGCACCTGGCTCCACCAGACCTGAGGGAGCCCAACTGAGGGTGCTGCCAAGCCTGCCGGAGGCACAGCACCGCACCCAGACCACAGCAGGTGGAAAGGCCTGGTCTAGACCCCGCCATGCCCAGCCACTGCCCCCAGCCCACCTCAGGGGAGTCCCCACTCAGCTTGAACAGGTAGCAAAGGCCCGCTGAGGGACCGTGGTCCCACCTTCGCGGCTCCGAGAGGCTGCAAGCTGCACACCTGTGCATGCCCGGGCACAGTGTGGGGAGCCTGTGCCACTGCTGTGCCCCCATAAGCACTGCTGGAGCCACGTGAGGCGGCAGCTGGGCCAGGTCACTGGATGGACATTGGCTGTGACACCAGCCCTGCTGGCCACCACTGGGACCCCAATCCATACCAAAGACTCAAAGTCAAACGAGTTTATTCAGAAAAGGCCTTGCTTGGCACTTTTTTTTGGACTAAGAAAAGCAGCCCTGCCCCACCCCACCCCACCCCAAAAGGAACAATTTACAAAGACAGGGGTGCAGGGAAGAGCTGGGCGGGGAAGACACAGCCAGGCCAGGCGACTTGTGCAGGCCGTGGCCTTCCCTGAGGGTGGGGCCTCGCACCTGCTGGTGGCTGCTGCATCAGCCACCACAGGAGGACGGCACTGCAGGTCACTCCCGAGGCCCTGACCCCTGCAGCAGGGCCGTGAGGCCATGCCGCCGCCGAGATGGACATTCCTTTCCTTAAGGCTTCCCGGACTTGGGGGAAAGCCCTACCTCTGCGTCCTGCACCTCTGCTGCCTCCCCTGCCTCGGCCGGCTCATCCCCTGCAGGGCCTGCAGAGCTGGGGCCTGGGCCCTCTGATGGGCTCCCGGGGGCACCTTCTTTGGGCCCCATTGTGCCTTCTGTGTCCTCCTCAACCCGGTTCTCAGTGTGTCCAGCCTCGGGGCACCCCAATGGGGCAGGGGACCTGGCAGGGTCCAAGGTCTGGGTGCTACCCTTGGCCACAGCAGCACTGTTCCCCGCACCCTCATCTACCTTCCTTCGCTTCCTCACCTTGTCAGCCACCCTGGCTTCCCGGGGTTGGGGGCAAGGCTGCATGGCCTCCCTGGGGTCTTGGCCGCCCACTTCCTGGGTCCCCATCCTGAGGCTGCCCTGGCTGAGGGCACACCCCTCCAAGTTCAGAGCGATCTTCTCCACCTCCGAGGGAGTGTGTGTGCCTGGCTCTGTGGGGGGCTGCTCCCGCCGGCTCTGCTCCAGCTTCCTCTTCTTACTCTCTTTGGGGCTGGGGGGCTCCAGCCCATATTCCCCATGGCCCCCTGCCTCATCCCCCTGGGTTCTCTCCAGGGGTCCCGCATCCTGGGGTTCCACGCTCAATGGCTGGGGCCCCTTGTCCACCCTGTCCCCACCCTTGCTGTGCCCTGGCCCACAGGTCCGACCCTGGGTGCTGGCCTCGTGGACAGAGTCCCTGGGGTTTCCTTCTTCCTCCGCCTTCCTGGGGCCCTGGAGCAGACAGGGCAGGCAGCTAGGCTTGAACCTCCGAAGCTTGTCCCGGGGACCCCAGACAAACTTGCTGCGGGGCCGGAAGTGCTTCCAGGCAAAGTGCACCAGTTCCCGGCGCTGGTGTCGGCAGCGCACGGCGAACATGAAGTAGTCCAGGGCGCTCTGCCGCACGCCTGGCAGCTCTTGCCGGACAAGCGTCTCCTCCAGGAAGAAGCGGGCCAGTGGTGCCTGGTAATGCTCGAGGCCCAGCTCGCCCAGCGACTTGAGGATGCGCGTGATGCGGAGGTTGTTGTGGTTGTGCCTGTGGGAGGTCCGGGGCAGCAGACGTCAATGGCCGGGGCCCCCCACCCAGCTGCATGGGGGTCTCCACACCCCGGCCAACCATCCAGTCTCTCTCCCCATTTGCCTCCCTGGGCCCAGGGTAGGACTCACGCCATCCCCATGAAAATGGCCTGTGGGCCCTGGACACATGAGGGTCAGGGGGGATGCCAACACATCACCTAGAGGGTGGCTGTCACCGAGATTCCCTGGTGGGGAGGAGCTGGGTAGACAATGGCCACAGGGGCCTCGATCACCCATGAGAGCGGCTATACTCTCGATCACCCCTCCTTGCTTCTCTGTACTGCGTGCAGATTCTCGATCACCCCTGCTTGCCACCTCCCAGGCGCAGCAACAGCCTTCTTTACCTTCCCACCAACCCTATTGGGGAGGGACTGCCCAGCCCTCCAGGCAGCAAGGAGAGCTTCGAGCCTTTGTGGAGCTCTTCCTCCACAGCAGGAGGGCTCTGTGACCTGCCAGGGCATGGCCCTGTTCTGTGGGGGTGGGGGCAGGCAGGGGCAGCTGGGCCTCACCAGTTCAGGTTCTGGAAGCGCCTCTGGTAGTTCTGTGCTCGACCCACTGTGCCTGTGCCTCGGTCCTCCAGCCGGATCCCATAGAAGTCCAGCATGAGCTCGTAGGCCCGGACAAGTCGCTCCTGGATCTCCCTGGAGCTTTTAAACACCTGGAAAAGCCCCCCGGGAGATCTCAGGCACCATCCCCGAAGTCTCTGTTCCTGGGGAGCGTGGGGGGCCACGCACATGCCGGGCCTTGGCTCCTGACTCATTCAGAGGCCTGGACTCAGACTTTATTTATTTTGCTTTATTTATTTTCTGAGACAGAGTCTTGCTCTGCTGCCCAGGCTGGACTGCAGTGGCGTGATCTCAGCTCACCACAACCTCTGCCTCCCAGGTTCAAGCGATTCTTGTGTCTTAGCCTCCCGAGTAGCTAGGACTACAGGCTCACACCACCATGCCCAGCTAATTTTTTTGTATTTTTAGTAGAGACAAGGTTTCACCACGTTGGGCAGGCTGGTCTCAAAGTCCTGACCTCAGGTGATCTGTCCACCTCAGCCTCCCAAAGTGGCCCCCAGCTGCTGCCCTCCCCCCAGAGAAAGTCACCGGCCATGGGAAAGTGCCAGGAGGGGCCCCTCAGCTCTCTAAGGGACAGCTCTCTAAGGGACAGCATCCCTTAGGGACAGATTCCAGACTTGGGTGACCCCACTGCAGCCCAATCCAGCGGTGAGAAAGGCAGGTCCCGACACTCGGGTCTCTCAGGGGCTCAGCCCCAGACTTCTGCATGGGGACAAACGGCCTCAGAAAGTTGAGTTTCTCTAGATGCTTGGTGGGACGAAGACCACTCCGGAGGGAAGGTCATCATACTGGAGGCTCTTTCGGCCCTTCTGAGGGGCCCCTGAGGGGGCACCAAATGCCTGCTGTCAGATGTGACCCCATCTCTGCAGATACATGGTTTGTCCTGGCCTCCCCATCTCCCCTCCAGCCACACCAAGGCCTGGAGCTCACCTCGATCTCCCTGAGCGTGAGGGGCTTGGCATGCCAGTTCACTCCCGGTTCTCGAAGGGGAAACAGCCTGTGGGAGAAGAGGTATCCAGGCAGAGGGTTCAGGAGAGCCGCTTCCAGCCCTCTGGCATGTACTCACTGGGTTCCCCTCCTCTCTTGGCTCCCAGGCTCAACTCCACGAGGGACTGGCCGGGTGGAGGAGCAAGAGTGGGCGAGCGCAGGTGAGCGCAAGGGCCCAGGATGGCTGGGAAGTGACTCAAACAGCAAGGGCCCTGCGGCAGGGCATACCGGGCACAAGGGGCACACAGGACACACTGGGGCCTTCCCTTCTACTCCTCACTCTTCCTTCTCGTGTTGTCACCTGTGACACCACACACCAGCAGAGCCTCCCTGTGAGCTCTCAGAGAGCTGTCCCCAAAGCAGAGCATGCTGTTTCCAGGGCCACACTGTAGGTCTTCAAGATGCGTGCCGTGAGTCTCACCCCAGCGCTATACCGGGACCCGGGCCCGGCCCAGTCAGATGCAGGGACCACTCCTCGAGGCTCACAGAGGCCTCCTGGCACCAAGGCTGCCCCTCTGGCAGGCAGGGACCCCGCTCTGCTGCTTCAAGGAATCTGTGTGCAGCCCCTCTGGCCTCCCTGGTGATTGTCAAGAGCCCAGATTGGGAAGCCAGAGCCTTCCGTCAGCAGCCCCTGCATGCCCAGTGATGTCCACCTGTGTCATGAGAACACCACTTCCAGGAAGGACAGAGGGCACTCAGTACACACCAGGCAGAAGCGTGGGGAGGGCCCCTCCTGCTGCTACCTTGCCCACCCCGTGATTTCCCCTTCCCCTGACTCACCACTGGATATAGGAATGGTTGTCCTCAAGGAGGTCATAGTTGTCCTTCCAGTTCTGAAGAATGTCCTCAATGAAACAGCCTGGGAGCCCCATGGGGACAAGTCAGCTGTGGAAGCCACTCTGCCAGCCTCAGGAGGATGGGGTGTGGGTTGGGGGATGGGGACGGTGTGCTGCCAGCAGCTTCTCCGAGCTATTTTCGCCCCTGTCTCCAGAGGCTCTTCAGGTCCGAGGTTCAACAGCACCGCCCATCCCTCCCCCTCCCACGCACAACCCTTGCCCTGCTGGACCCGTGAACTGGCCCCTCACTGCTGACTGGCAGCAAACCCAAGTGAGAATGCGGAAGGCTCTCTGAGGAAACCATTGGTCTCAACCAGGACCCGTCTGTGCAGGAAAGGGCCCCAGTGCCTCCCACAAAAGCCTGGTCAGTCAGCCACAGAAATCTCTCCTCAAAGTCCCCAGCTGAATCTAGTCCCATGGTGCGGCAGACAATGCCTCCCGAGATGGGGGCCTGACAGTTACCCCGTGTTGCGGCTGGCACATCTCCCGAGATGGGGGCCTAACAGTCACTCCGTGATGTGGCCGGCACCGTCTCTCAAGATGGGGGCCTGTCACCCTGTGATGTGGCCGGCACTGTCTCCCCAGATTCGGGCCTGCCAGTCACCCCATGATGCAGCTGGCACCATCTCCCAAGATTCGGGCCTGACAGTCACCCTATGCAGCCACCCAGTCTCTCTGTCTCATGTTACAACGTGAAAACAGCCCTGGCAGATGCATAACCAGGCGTGGGCACGTGCCTCTGAAACTTATATTAACACTGAAATGTTAATTTCCTATGATTTTCAAGTATTAGAATACTGTTCTACCCTAATTTTTTCTCACCATTAAAAAATATAAAAACCATCCTTGGCTGGGTGCAGCGGCTCACGCCTGTAATCCCAGCGCTTTGGGAGGTGAGATGGGATCACAAGGTCAAGAGATTGAGACCATCCTGGCCAACATGGTCTCTACTAAAAGCCTGCCTCTCCTAAAAATACAAAACATTAACTGGGCATTGTGACACGCATCTGTAGTCCCAGCTACTCAGGAGGCTGAGGCAGGAGAATCGCTTGAACCTGGGAGGGAGAGGTTGCGGCTGCATTGAGCCAAGATCGTGTCACTGCACTCCATCCTGGCAGCAGAGCAAGGCTCCATCTCAAAAAAAAAAAAAAAAAAATCCTCAGCTCTGGTTTACATGTGGTTTTCATGAGGTTGTGGCAGAGTTCAGTGGTTTCCAGAGAAACTGTATGGCCTGAGAATCTGCAAATCTTCAGTCTCTGGCCCTTTAGTTACCCATCCCGACCCCAACACCACAGCAGAGGCTCCATCTTGACCTGAGCACCACGGCAGAGGCCTCATCCCGACCCCAACACCACAGCAGAGGCCCCATTCCGACCCGAACACCAATGCAGAGGCCCCATCCCAACCCCAGCACCACGGCAGAGGCCCCATCCCGAACCCAGCACCACGGCAGAGGCCCCATCCCGACCCCAGCACCAAGGCAGAGGCCCCATCCCGACCCCAGCACCAAGGCAGAGGCCCCATCCCGACCACAGCACCACGGCAGAGGCCCCATCCCAACCACAGCACCAAGGCAGAGGCCCCATCCCGATCTGAACACCACGGCAGAGGCCCCATCCCGATCTGAACACCATGGCAGAGGCCAGAGGACTGGGGGTCCTGGAGGCCCTCTGGTCACCTCCAGGAGGGACTGTGGGGCTACCTGAAAGAATCACCAGTGTACCCCAAAGCAGACCCCAGTGGATCACCCTGGCCAGACAAGGATGGAAGTGCTGGCTGCCAGTGGGTGGGGGCACCTACCATTGGGCAGGAAGTGGATCTCATTTCTGTAGAAACTCAGGTTGGGTGTGTCCCCATTGCAGTCTCGTTCCACCAGATCCTGAAGAGCCAGAGAAAGGGGACAGTAGAGACCCATCAGACACAAGCTGCCCTGGGGCCCTCTGGGCTGTTCAAGGAGGAGCAGCTGCAAATCCAGGCCTGACCCAAGACCCCAAGAGCCTGCCTGGCTCCTCACTCTCGGAGGACAGCAAACAGTCCCTCCAAGCCCCAGGGACCCCCCTTCCCCATCTCGCCAGCCAGGCCAGCAGAAGGTCCCCTCCTCAGCACCCTGAAGGCAGCACAGGGGTTTCTGTGAGATTCAGAGGTGTGGAGGGCAATGGGTGAGGACAACCACCACCTGCAGGAGACAGGGCTGGCATGGGGGTGCGGATGCCAGGTGGATGGCATCACAGAGGTCACACGTGTGCATCACGAGGCTGGCACTGTGGCCATGTCTGCAAGGCAAGGATGTGCTGAGTCTCAGAAAGGCAGGGGGATGCCCCTGGTCTCCCATGAGAGGGAAGGATGCGGCTGTGTTTAGGCCCTGCACCAGGCTGCTGCCCCAGGTGGGCTCTTGCCCAGAACTGTGGTCTGGTGAAAGCCAGGCACACTAGAACCTGGGACATTCTGCCTGAGGAGACAGGCCGGCGGGAGGGTACTGTGTCCCGGGGCAGGGGCAGGGGCAGGGGCAGGTACCTACCGGGTAGTTGTGCCGGTACCTGCACATGTCCTGCATGGCTCGCCAGTTTCGGGACCCTATCATCCTGGACTGGGAAGAGAAGAGATGGGATTAGGACCCACATGGGAGTCCTCACTGTGGTGAGGGCTGCAGGGGCCTGGGCCAGCTGCCAAGGAATTGTCTTTAAAGGGTGGGGTCTCATGGCTCTGCCCTCTCATTCTCCCACCCTGGCTCTTTTTCGGGGTTCCCAGTGGGGGCAGATTTGGGCCTTAGTAAAGCTCTCCAACACTGCACAGAAGCAGAGGGGGCTGCAGTGGCCGGGTGGGGCCTGCTCCTTCTCTCTGTTCCTGGGGATTCCTGCCTTCCACCTTAGGGTGGCCCCTGATTGACATGCCCCTCCCCTGGGGTGTGGCTCTGATCTTCTCCTCCTCCTAGGCCTGCTGGCTACCCCCACCCTGGCTTTGCCTCTGTTTTGTGACCCTGGGGACTCCCCCTGCTCTGTGCTCTAGTCACCAGGCTGTGCTCCTTTGGGCAGTGGCCTCACCACCTAAAGCCCCAGGAGGACATCCAGGTGCTTCTGGCAGAGTCTAATAAATGAATGCCCTTCCCTGCCAACCCCATGCCTCACTGGCCACAGTGAGGTTGGACCGAGTCTCCAACCTCCAGCCCTGTCTGGGATGGCTTCTCAGCAAGTTGTCAGGTTCCCGTGATGCCCTAAGCCCTTCAGTCCCCACCTGTGGTCATGCATCAGGAGGCTGAGCAGAGGGCCAGAGGGAACCAGTGATGAGGTGATAAGAGTGGGGGCCTGGAGCTGAGCCCTGCTCAGTGGGGTAGGGCAGGAATGGGAGTGCTTGTTCAAGGCAACACCTGGGACCCAGGACCCTCAGGGAGCACTAGAAGCGGGGTCGGGAGGCCTGGTTGGTCACTGTGCCCCTGGCTCCCCGCTGGGCTCCAGCTGGAGCCTGGTGTTGCCTCTCTGCCTGATTTCTTTCTTCCCCCGCCCCCACCTCGAGATGGAGCTTCATGCAATCACTACTTACTGCAACCTCTGCCTCCCAGGTTTAAGTGATTCTCCTGCTTCAGCCTCTAGAGTAGCTGGGATCACAGGTGCCCATGCCTAGCTAACTTTGTATTTTCAGTAGAGATAGGGTTTCACCCTGTTGGCCAGGCTAATCTCGGATTCCTGACCCCTGGTGATCCACCCCGCCTTGGCCTCTGAAAGTGCTGAGATTACCGGCCTGCGCCACTGCCACCAGCCTCTCTGCCTGATTTCTAAACAAGGCCTGACGCTGTGGTTCTCTCGCCCGGCCCTGCCTTGTTTCAGCGTCTCCCTCCTAGAGCCAGCGGGACCCTCCCTGGGTCAGTCCTGGAGGCTGGGTCCTGATGGGCGGCGCAGTCAGCCCACAGGTGCATACACGACACCGCCCAGGACACAGTGAAACAGCCCCACCAGGGTCCAGGGCAGGACGCTGGGGAAGGGCGAGGAGTCCAAAGGGGAAGGGGCGGGGCTTGGGGACAGAAGCCACAGCAGAAGGCAGTAGGGAAGAGGTCAGGGGTCACAGGCGCCTGGCAGGATGGATAGTAGGGGTCTACGAGCAGTGCATCGAGAGAGAGGTGGAGGAACTCCAGCCGGGCCAGCCGGTCAGAGCCCACTGGGGGTCACAACGTCCTGGGAGACGGAGCCAGGCTGTCCCCCTGCCCAGCCTGCCTCGCCGCTGCTCTCCGGGCAGGGCTCTCTCACATGCCCAGGCGCAAACGCAAACGGTGCTGGGTGCTCCCGGGGGACCCACGCGGAGCCAGAGCTGCAGACACTTCCCAGCCTTCCACAACCCGGACAGCTCAGCTCCGCGACCCCGGGCCCGCCCGACTGCGGGAGCGCGCGGTTCCCAGCTGGCAACAAAAGTAACCGGCGATGACAGGCGGCAACAAAAGTAACCAGCGCAGGCCAGGCAGTCCCGAGCTCCGGCAGGTGCAGCGGCTAAGCCTCCCAGGCCCGACCCCAGGCCTCGGGTGGGGGCTGCGGGGCCGCCGGGAGGGGGTCCCCTCCACGCAGCCGGGGACCCCAGGCCTCTTCCGCGCCGCGGGGCCGCACCTGGAGCGCGCTGGGCCGCGCCGCCCGCGGCTCCTCCGCGTCCTCGTCGTCGTCCCCCGCGTCCTCCGCGCCGGCGGCCTCGCCGTCCTCGTCCTCCTCGTCCTCCTCGTCCTCCTCCCAGGTGGAGTCGCAGTCGGGATCGTCCATGCTCGGCGGCGGCGGGGCCCGCTCTGGAGGCGGAAGCGAAACCGAAAGCGGAGGAAGCGCGGGGGGCGGGGTGGGACGGGCGGGGGGGGGGAACGGCCCAGGCTCCGCCCGCGTCCGCGCACAACGCTCCTCCTTCCTGGAGAAGCCCCAACGTCCGCCCGGCAGGATGCCCCTCGCCGAACGCCCCCCCCAACCCCTGGGTGCCCACCCAAGCGGATTAGCCTCACCCAGTCTTGCAAGGATGCCCACCCTAGGAGATCTTCCCGAAAATGTCCTCAAGGGCTACCCGCCCCCCAGAGGACGTTTCCCCGGAAGATCAGACAGGGTACCTCGGAAGGATGTCTTCCTCTCTCCCCGCAGAGAATCCCCCCTTCCAAGAGAAATACCCCCAGAGGATGTCCCCAGCCGAAGAATGTCCCCTGGAGGGACCGTGTGTCCACAGGGGCCTGTCTCTCTAGGCTGGATGTGTGGGAGTCCCTGTCCCTCTGCCCCCTGCGGCTGGGGGCCACACTCTGCTCCTGGAAGCTGTGGCAGACCCCTGTCCCTCCACATGGCTGTTTTCTTTTCCAGGCCACCAGGGGTCTTTCTCTCCAGGGCGCCGAATCTTATATAAGGCAAATGACATGGGCAAGCTGTGACTTCCTTCTCCTTTACCGTCTTCTCTCTGTTGTAAGAAGGCTCCTGGGGGGAGGACCACACCTTGCCTGGACCGCCAGGAGGTCACCCCAGGGACTGTTCAACACAGGGGACATCAGATTAGTGCCTCCTTCAGGCCCTCTCCATAAGCATTGCAGATCTGGGGCGACACAAAGTCACTTTCAGCTGCAGTTTCCAGCACCGTGGGTCCCTTGCTCAGCCACCTTTGACTTCTGCTAGCAGATAATGGCAAAGTTGGGGACCTTTTAAAATAAAAATCAGGAGCGGCTACCCCAGATAGAATTCTTCTGTAACTACTATACCACTTAGTTTCAAAAAACTTAGGTAAAACTAAATCTGGGTTTTGGAATTGGCCATGAGGATAGCTTCTGGCAGAGTTGTCCCTGGAATGACAGAGGTGGAAAGGTAGACTGGGCCCCACCCAGCACCCAGGGGACACTGCTATCTCCTAGCCTTGCAGGCCTGCTGGCAGGCTTCAGGCTGCCTGGGCCTGGGAACCGGTGACAGTCCTTGTACTGTGTGCCAGGGACAGCCGTAAATGGAAGTCTTCCAGTCTTGGCCATGAGTACAGGTTAAGGACTCTCTGGGTGCTGGGTGCTAACCTTTGCTGACCTGTTGACCGTTACTAGCAGGTGCAGTCTCACCTGGCTGGAACCTGTGTACATGCATCTCACTTTCTAAAAGGACAGTGGTGATTCCTGAAGTTTTGGAGCTCTGAACATTTCTGCAAACCCGCTTACTGCAGTGGCCAGGGTGGGTTTCCCGTGGTGCCTGTGAGTGAGCTGCCTGACCTTCTTGTTAGATGATTTACAGCTGGGATCTGGTTACAGTATCAGGATAGAAGGGGGCCTCTGATTGGGACACTGATGGGTGCTGGGCGGTTGGATAGGGCTTGAGTGATCTGAGACTGGGGTGGGCAGGCTGCCCCCTTCACTGCCCCCAAGAAAACAGAAAGGCATACCGGGTGTGGATAACATTGTTCCAAGGGACAGCGTTCCCACTGCTCCCAACTGTCAGCAGGACGACAGAACCACCTCTCTAAAGAGTATCAGAGACATTGCCCAATTTCCGTTTTACAAACGTCACCACACCAAATTGCTGCTTTAGTTACTTCTGTGTAGTGTGTGCACGAGCACGTGCAGAGCTCCTGTGGGCTCTGGGGACTGTGCGACAGAACTGCTTCCTCAGAGCGGCCTCTGCAGTCCAGTGACGCCTGTGTGGCTCCGCATTCCAGATGGGGTTGCTGTGGAGGTCGGGCAGAGGGGCTCTCTCTCTGTCACACACACACACACACACACACACACACACACACACAGCTCCCAGGCACCCAGGAAGGGCAGTGGCCTCTGCACATGTAGAGGGTGATGTGCCCGGAGCAGGCGCTGCTCACAGCTAAGGAGCCCAGCAGAATTTTGCTTGGCTGGGGCTTGGATTACAGCCTTCACAACTTCAGGCGAGACCATCGGCAGCCATGTGATTTCACCCAGCCACGCCTTGTCCTCAGTCAGCCAGCCAAGCCAGGAGCCTCGCTGCCGCTGCCCTGCTACTCAATATTTCTGTGCTGTTATTTGGGGAGCAGTGGAGTCCAGCCTCCTTTCTCAGTTACCTGTGGGTCGCCCTAGGTGTGCCAGGCAGGGGAGTTCAGATCACGGCCACTTTCAGCCTTTACTGAGCCCCCACTTGAAGCTAGCAGTCTCTGCCCTGGGCATCCTAGGCACAGAGTGAGGCTGAGGCTTCCAGGCTTAGCATCAGCAGCAGCTTCTGACCCATTCAGACCCACTGCACAATGTCTCTCCTCTACAGCAGCAAGTGCCTGAGCGTCCGTGTGCGGGCCAGCCTCATGCCAGCTCCATTTTCCTTTTCAGACTCAGTTTCAGTCTGCACCTTCTACATGACATGGTGGGGTATGCGTGACATAAAGCCCTCAGGTTACAGACAGGAGCCTCAGGATAAGGAGGGGGCACACACAGTGCTGACCAGGGCTTGAGGCCACATCGCTCTCACCCTGACACTTGGGAATTTGATGTGGCTGTCCCACCTGCCAGCAGAGTGTGAGCTGGGCCTCCCCACAGGGAAGCCAGGAAGCTCACATGAGCCCATCAGGGCAGCGCGGCACCTGACTTCAACCAGGCAGGCCTCTTGTCCAGAAGGGGAGGCCCGCAGCGGGGGTTGCTGCTTGCCTGCCCAGTGGGCTCACTCTGCGGGCTCTCCCTTTCTCCTGGAAGTGCAGCAAAATGTAAACAATCATTGAGATGAGGCAGGTTTATGAATTCCGCTTTCCCAGCACATTCTGAGGTCACTGGAGGTGCGGTTTCAGATGGAGGTTTAGAACAGTGAGGCTGGGTGGAGAGCAGGGACTTCTGGCCATCGAGTGCTGACCCATTAATATTTGCCCCCCTTTCTTTCCCCTGCTGCTTCTGGACTGTCTCGGGCCAGGTTGCTCTCCTGACCAAGACTCCAGGGCAGGACCTATCACAAAGCACTGACTGAGGCTGACCCTGAAGGAGCAATGGCATGGGCAAGGGGGCACCACCCCTCCCGGCTGCAGGGCTGAGAGTTTGGGGTGTGAGTGGAGGAATGCCAGGCGGGCTGTCCTTTGGTCTGTGAATGTGGGGCCCTCCCGGTGCCCGTTCTGCACGGCAGGCTGTTACTGCAGGCCTGTAGATTTGTCCCAGCTCGATAGAAGGCACACACATGGCCCCCCAGGCAGTTATTCTACCATTGGGATGCAGCTCAGGCAGGCCATGGGCCAACAGCTTCCTGCGGCTGTTCCCCCCCAGAAGTGACAGTGGGTTTGGGTGCAGACTGGGACCCATGCTGGGCGAGTGCATCGCACAGGGTTCCTGGCTTTGCCCCTTTTGTGGGTGCCTTGTGATCTGCGTCATGGCGAGGAACTCCAGGGACCGATGGCCAGGAACATTCCCAGGTGGTGGAGGTGGCTCCATTGGCAGAGAAGCACCATCAAGCAGAAGACACTGGGGTGTGACGGCTGGCCGGGACGGAGCTGGTCTTGTCGCTCATGGAACACTGGACTTCACTGTGACCAACCTCCCAGCAGTGGCAGCAGCGTTCAGCAGGAAGACACCTGACCTCCGAGGGCCCACCCTCTTCTGCCCTGCTAACATTTTGTATTTGAAGTGCTTGTCACAGTCCACAAAATAACCACTCAGAATGTTACCATTTTGTTTATATATATTGTATGGAGTGAATGTTACCAAGTCAAGTGTAAGCTTTAGTTACAAACCTGGGAAAAATAAAACTTCCTACTGGAGGAAAAGTTAACTTACTTTGGTATCAAATTCACACACTCCAGGTTGGATTTTTCTCTGCTTTAATGTCCGCAGTCACACAAAGGTGGCATCTCAGTGGCACTGGGGCAGCCGCTACCTCCTCACCAGCCCGACAGCTGTACCTCCCACCTCTTACCCATTTGGTCTGTTTGCAAGTGACTAGAGCATAGAAAAATAACTGCTACAAATTCTCTGTATCTGGAGTATAAAAACTGACCAAGAAGTATCTCTTAAAGCAAAACATCTCAGAAAAAATACAACACAGGTTTAACTTCTGTAGTACTTTGTTCATATAAAACACTAGTAAAATAGGCTTCTTCAAAATTAAATAGTGAAATACCAACCAAATTATATACATTGTTACAGTACAAGTGAATGAGGCAAAATATCCAGTTTTTAGTTTCCCAGGAGGGGCCATCAGTGCGTGGCATAGGGGGTGACAGGAAGGTCGTGTTCTGGTGTCACAGTCAGTGCAGAGGCTTGCAGCGGGACAAACAGCTGGAAAGAACTGAGCCACGCAGGGAAGACCAGCGGTTCCCTTGAGGAGGAGTGAGGTCATGTTTTTATTGCTTGCTAATCCGAGGTTTCCCCCTGGCCCAATGCCCCTCTAGGTAGCCTGGGTCCTGAATGCTGCAGCCCATGTGGAGCTGATGCATGTCACCAAGAAGCCATGGGGAAGCCGTGTTGCTGCAGAGAAGAGGACAAGGCTTCAGAGCCCTCTTATCGGAGCTGGATTGATCCCGGCCTTTCTGGTCCACCAGGGTCCCGCACAGTGCAATTGACACACACATTTGCCCGCTAATGACCACATTCACCTGAGAACCTAGGGCAGGCAGGGCTCACAGCATTGGGACGCTGTCACTGTGGCCTGGGGTGGCACTGGGACCCAGTTGACCCCTCAGTGACCAGGCTCTTTGCCCGCTTCTCTGCTGCCACCAGGGCCGAGGGGTCTATGTTCGGCGCCGCTTGGCTGCGCTGGGACTGGAGGGGTTGCTGTTCGCGGTCAGGACTTTGTCAGTGACCCGGCTGCGCTTCCGCTTGTCTGCGCCTTCTTTGCACCCCAAGTCCGAGGAGTTCTTCTCTTTGTCTTTGCTGGATTTTTCTGTTGCTTTCCCCAAACTCCCTGAAGATGAAAAAACTGAGAAACGAAAAATCACTTGGCTAAAAACAGAATATCCAAAGTCTTATTTTTGTCTTCCTGCTCAGTCAGAAAATCTGCATATTCACACACGACCCCCTGAACCCAAAGGCTTCCTCCTGAGCTGGGGGCCCCTGGCGTGTGGGCCTGCAGAGGGGCCTGGTCCTGCTGAGCACCTCCCTGCTGCGGACACTGCACTGCAGGACCCACCCTGTGCTGAGATGACCCGACCGGGGCCTCTGAACCGCAGGCTCTATGCCCACCTGACTGTGCCCTGCCCGAGGGTGGCCTTGCAGCAGGGCAGGCTGAGCTCCACACTCACCATCATCAGCCCCACTGTGGGGGTCCACGTCTTCCTTCATCTCCTCCTTCATCTCCTCTTCTATCATCACTTTTCCTGTGGAGGAGACAGCTGACGTTCACCGAAAGCCCACGGTGGTGGCCGACGCTGGGGGATGGTCAGGCCGGGGACTGCTCCGACGCTTGCTGCCCACACAGGCCTCAGCTTCCGTCCAGCCACTGCTCTCAAACAAAGTCCTCTCCAATCCCGGAGCTCTCAAGACCACCCAAGCGCAGGTGGGGCGGGGTCTGTGCTGGACCCACACCTCCCTGGAGGCCTGGGGTCCTCACCCTCACCTCCCTGCCCTTGGCCAGCGTCTGGCCTTTTCTGATTCCCAAGCCCAACCTCTCCCGTGTCTCACCTTCTCGGACCTCCTGAATGATCTCTTCTGGAAGGACGAAGTTCCTCTCTGAATTCGGGAACGGAAGAATCTCAGATTCGTGCTGATGTCCAAGAGTTTGGTTTAAGAAACAGGAGGGGGCGAGGTGGAGGCCGAAAATAAAAAAAAGAAACAGAAAATGTGGTTGCAACAAGTTACTGTGGCCGTATCACAGCCACCTGGGGGTGGCCAGTGAGTGCACAGTGCTGTGCTGAGGCCGCAGTAGGTGGGGTCTGGGCAAAGGGCATTTCTTTTTGTGGGTAGCACCAGCTGTGGCTGGGCTTTCCAGAGACTCAGGGAGGGCAGGACCAGTGGAAGCAGCCGCAGGAGTCAGGAAGAAGCAACAGGGCGGCATCACTAAGGGGGGCCCTGAGGATGGGTCAGCGCTGGTGACGCACCCTGTGGGCACCGCCTGCACTCCACGGCCTGTGGTCTCACCATGAGACTGCTTCCCCCAAGGCGGCATGCAGAGGGCATGGTGACAGCCCCAGGGAGAGGCTGCAGGTGCCTCAAGTTCCCCTCCGTGTGGCAGGAGCCCACGGACACTAAGGGTGTTGGCTGGGATGCCACAGTTACAGAATGGGGAGACAGGCAGAGCAGGTGGGGCAGGGCCCCGAGTGCCTGCCAGGCACTACCCTCCTTCGGTCACACAGACCAGAGGGAGACCAGGAGCCAGGGAAAGTGGAGCTGGCCAGAAGAGCCCTGGACTAGGAGGTGGATTCAGGAGACAGAGGCTCCGCTTGGCAGTTTGGGTGCTGTGTGGAGCAGGCAGTCGGGCCACATCTGTGCTCCTCAAAATCTCCTGGGCCTGCTGGTCAGCCTCTCGGGTGGACTCCAGAGGCTCTGTATTTCATTAAGTCTGGATGACTCGGACCTCAGCCACACAGAAGTGCCATGGTCCAGAGAAGGTGCCAGCCCCATGGTCTTGCCCAGTCCTTACTGATGCCACAGGCTACTGAAGGAATAAGGCATGGGGCCACCATTCTGGGGCTGAGAGGCCTGGTGGTCTCATGCGCTCCCTGAGTGTCATGTGGGCTGCTGTGCTCATCTGAGCGAGCACCGGAGCCCCAGGGGACATTACGGGCCTTGGAGCTGTCTGTCTTCCCCAGACACAGGCAGAGAGCTGCACCCATCTCTCTAAATCCCAGTGTGGGAGGTATCTGGGGACCAGGCGCCCTTTCCCACAACTGAGAAGCTGCTGACCCCAGGAGTTCGATGACAGACACGCTCTAGGCAGGAGTGGGGAGGACCTTGTGAGGTTAGTGGTCAGCTGCGCCTGGGCCACTAGGCACTGGTCACCCAATGCTGTACCAGCTCAGAACATCCTCAATGCAGGACGTGGCAGCCACAGGGGTGTGAGCTCCCAGGGCCCTTCCAGGGCTGGGTGTACTTCCTCTCCTTACACAGCCCTCTGCACAGCTGGCATCTCTGTCCGCTTTCTACAGCTATGACAAGGAAACCCACTTCACTCGTCCAGTGGCAACCATTCCCTGCCTCGGCAGTGCCCACATCTTACTGGGAGGGCAGGCGTGGCCCTAAGTCCATCAGGGCAGGCACAGACTCTCTTTCCACCAGCAGAGGTCCCCCTCCTCCTGGTGACCTGCCCCGACCCCCACCCCACTCTCCAGCCGCACCCCCTACCTCTTCTGGCCACCCTGCTTCCTAGTTCACCTGCTAGCCCGTCACACGCCAGCTCCGAGCTCTGTGAGGATTGGAACACCACTTGTCTAACTCCCACAGAAGCCACCAAATTCGCCTTGGTGTGACTCGGATAGGGTCATCGTCTGCCTAAAGCACTTCTGGGGCCTCCCAGGAGACTGGCAATGGCCAAGGGCCCCAGCCTCTGCATCCCTCCCTCCCTCCCTCCCGAGTCTCAGCTGCCCAGTCATCTCCCGGGAGGCTCTGGTCCAGCACCCAGTCAAATGCAGGCCGCCTGAAAAGCTGACCAGCCGCTCGCACTGGTTTGTGCTTCCCATGACAATCTCTCGAGCCACCGCAAGTAGCCCGCAGCTCCGTCCAGCAGACCCCAGCAGGCATGGAGGGGCCTCTGCCCAGCTCAGGCTGACCCTCAGAGAGCGGCGTGCGGGTTCGCGCCCCCACCCGGCGGCACAGGGAGGGCGGTCGGGCTCACCAGCGCCTGCATGTCGTACATGGTGCTCAGGTGGTCCCAGATGACCTTGGATGGGACCTGCCGTCCTATGTTCTGGCTGAACTTGTCCCGGATACAAATCATGTGGAAGTGTCGGTTCACACCTGCGGCAGGAGGGGCGGCGGGGCAACCGGTGAGCCGGGAGGACGGGACGGAGGCGACGGGCGGCCCCGGGGAACGGAGGGGCAAGGGTGGCTGCGGAGGGAGGCGGCGGGGCCGGGGAAGCGGAGGGGCTGCTGGGGGCAGGGCTGAGTGCTGCGTGGGAGGGGCGGGGGCCCCGGGCGGGGCCCACGGGAGGGGGCGGGGTCCCGGGCGGGGTGTGGCGGGGAGCGTGGGGCGCGGGTGTCGCGAGCGCTGGCCCTGCCCCGCCCCGCCGGTTGCCCGCCCCGCCCCCACGCGCGTCCGCGGCCTGGGCGCTCACCGACGGGCTTGTGGCCCAGCATGGCGTGGAAAAGGCACACCTCCACCTCGGGGCTCCACACCACCGTCTCCTCCGCCGGGCTGGTGGCCGCCTCCCCCGGGCCCTTATCGCCCGCGGAGCCCCCGCCGCCCACCTCGGCCTCTCCCATGGCCGCGGCGCGGCCGAGCGAGAAGCCCCCAGCGGGAGCAGGCGCGGCCACGGGCTCCGCGCAGGCGCACTGGGCGGCGTGCGCGCGCTCCGCCGGGCACGCGCTAGGACTCACGCGCCAGGGTCCGCGCAGGCGCAGCGGAGGGCGGGGACGTTTCCCGCCCGGACCCGGCCCTGCTCCGCCCCGCGCCGGGGTGCTTCAAACGTGTTTCTCTTAGAAACGCGGCAGAAAGAACACTGCATCCAAAGAAAAAGTCTGCGCTACAAAGAAAACCGTCACAAAAGTG